GTACGGAGGACGTAGGTGCAGGGACCAGTACCCCCACCCCGCTGACGCCCAGCGTACCACTCACGAAGCTGCTGAGGGGACAGGGTCTCACGACCGCGCTGCTGCTGCTGGCGCGGACCACCACCGGAGCCACTCCTCTGCGCAGAGCCGCGACCAGCTCCACCGCCACCTCCGCCGCCTCCGCCACCTCCGCCGCCTCCGCCACCTCCGCCACCACCGCCGCCTCCTCCGCCTCCACTGCTGCCACCGACACCTCCACCCCCGCCACCACTCCCACCACCACCCCCACCCCCTCCACTGCCCCCACCACCACCTCCACCGCCCCCACTGGCCCCCCCAGCGCCCTTGCCCCCCTTGCCCTTGCCGGTGCGGCGCTTCCCGCTAGGGGCCGACGCAGCGCCGACCGACTCGAAGCCAACGAAGTCGGCCGCAGCAGCAGAAGCAACAGAGGGCAAGAGGGGGGAGGGAGAACACCCCTCAAAGACGGGGGTGCGAGGGTCACCACGAGAGGCTCCTACAGCGACTATGCTCTTCTCTGCTGCTAGGAGGCGCTCCTCAAGGAGGTCAACGGTGAGTGTGGTGGGGCAAACTGAGAGGAAGTGGTCCCTGACTAAGCGAAGGGAGTCAGGGAGCCGGGTGACTATGTAGTAGAGGGTGATGTACATGGGGGGGGGGGTTCTTGGCACAGAACTCAGCAGGAAGTGCAGCGCGGTAGCGTGTGTCACTAGTGCGAAGGTGCGTAATGAGGTCAGCGACTGTGGGAAAGGCAGCAAGGTCAGGGAACAGGTACGGTAGCATGAGGCGGCTAAGCGCAGCAGTGGCAGGGGAAGAGTAGCGTGCAACTACAGCGTCGTACAAGGTCTTAGCACTCTTGTACTGGCTAAAGTGCGCACGCTCAGTGGTCGGTAAGTGGCGACGCACAGCAAGATGTGCAGCAGCATCGCGCGTGGCCCACTGTGAGCGAACAGTGCTGTCAGCAGTAGCAGGCGGGGCAGGAGAGACACCAGAGGTGAGATCAAACAGGGAGAGTCCGTCTGCCCTATCGCACTGTAAGAACAGCTGGAGGTCATCGACCCAGACCTCAAAGTCAACAGCACGACCCTCAGTATCAAAGGTAAGGACACTGGGGGTGGCCATGACTGCAGTGGTCTAGCAGGGAGTGAGCTCACCAGTCCAAGGAAGTAGGGCCGGGGCGCGCCGGAAGGAACAGTGGCGGCTCGGCGGTAGGGCGGCTCGGCTGCTGGGCGGCACGGCGGCTCGGTTGCAGGGCGGCGCGGCGGCTCGGCGGCTCGGCTGCTGGGCGGCTCGGCGGCTCGGCTGCTGGGCGGCTCGGCGGCTCGGCTGCTGGGCGGCTCGGCGGCTCTGCTGCTGGGCGGCTCGGCGGCTCGGCTGCTGGGCGGCTCGGCGGCTCGGCTGTCGGGGGCCTCGGATGCTGGGCTGCTGGCGGCGTTGAAGGGGCCGGTAGAGGCGGCGACGGGGCCGTGAAGGGGCGGCTGCGGGGCCGCTAGGGTCGGTGACGGGGCCGGTAGGGCGGCGACGGGGCCACTAGGGTCGGCGACGGGGCCGGTAGGGCGGCGACGGGGCCGCTAAGGGCGGCGAGGTGGCCGCGAAGGGCGGCTACGGGGCCTTCAGGGGCGGCGACGAGGCCGCCAGGGGCGGTGACCGGGTCGTAGAGGGGCCGTAAGGGGCCTAGAGGAGGCGACGACGGGGCCGCAAGGGGCGGCGACGAGGCCGCGAAGGGGCCGCGAGGGGCCTGGAGAGGCGGCGACGGGGCCTAGAGAGGCGGCGACGGGGCCGCGAAGGGGCCGCGAGGGGCCTAGAGGGGCGGCGACGGGGCCGCTAGGGGCGGCAACGGGGCCGCAAAGGGGCCGCGACGGGCCTAGAGGCGCGACGACGGGGCCGTGAGAGGGGCCGTGAGGGGCCGCGAAAGGGGCCGCTAGGGGCCTGAGGAGGGCGCGACGGGCCGCTAAGGGCTAGGTACGCGACGGGAGGTAGGGCACACGGGGCGCGACTCGGGCAGGAGAGAAGCGCGCTCCGGGCAGGAAAAAAAAAATTCAGTGGTGGGCCCTTAGGAAGCGTTCCCACTAGGGAACCTGCTCTATACCATGAGAGAAATGAGGAATGATTGCATTGAGCAGCATGAGGAGTACAAGTAGGAAACCCTAAAGTGTTGTACCCCATATGAGCTACCCCACTACAGCCTACACAGACTATAGCATATAAGTTTGACACCACCCCCATCCATCTCTCTCGCCTGCTCTAACTGCACCTGGTCCCCCTCTCCTTCAAGACTCTCGCTGTTCAGTTCTTGATTCATTTCTTGCCTTTCATCTTTCGGCATCCCTCGATACTCCCGCTTCTTATTTCTTGAATGTGCGAGTTGTGCTGGTGCTAAGGATTCATATTGTAAGGCTGTTTGCTCGATTTTGACACGCACGCAGTATCATCATTAACGTCGTACCTCCTTTATTTCCCTATTTTTGTTCTGCCTGTTTGCCCTGTGTCTGTTTACATAATTAAGTACAACTCTTCTACGGCGCGTAAGGATGCTTTCCACCCGTGGATTCCGCCATCCGCAGTCAGCAAGTCGGTTTTTTGTATGCGCTATCAGCTTATTTATCATGTTGTTAACTAGTCCGTTAGCCATCTGTTGCTTTGCCATGTGTTATCTATAGCGCTCGTGCTTGTTCTGCAGCTGTTATTCTTCTGGTTGCATATAAGATTTTTACTACATCTACTTTCTGCAACAGGTAAGGTATCTATTCAGTCCCTATGAGTCATGCCTCCGTTATAACTAACAGTAGTGTTTTTTTGCAGAGTTGCAGCTTATAACATGGATATCAGTTAATAGGACCGTTTCCACGAAGAAGGGTTATGTGTATATTTGTGTAGCGATCTAATGCAGCTGTAAGAATGCAAAGATATGTGTAGCTATCTGAATGCATCTTTTTGTTATGTAATCATTAGTTTCGCAAGAAATTATTGTGCTTGTATTTTCTCAATGTATACATGATACATTTAGTAGCGTTGAACATTGACATTTCTCAATTCAGTAGGAGAACTATTTGTTAATATTTGTGATTAACGATGGTGAATATTCTACAGTGGTTTCCAAGCTGAGTGTAGTTCTGTTACATCTGGTTACATTCCTCTTCTGGACCAATCGGAACGGCTCGTGCGAGTTGGACGTGCGCGAACCGTGTTGAGTTCGTGGTTACACCGGCCCCCGATCTGTAGGTGACCCCGTAGGTCACATCGTGGGCATGTGTTGACTTCGTATGTTACCTGGACGAGCACCTGCAGGTAACACACTGGCAGGTTACCTCAAGGGAAGTTTGGGGTTAGCTCGAGGTAACAACAGGGGCCCCCAATTTTTGAGACGTACATAAACTGGGCCAGTTCCAAAGCTTTGTTTGGGGGAAACACACTGCCGCAGACTGCTTTTTCTACCCCTGCTTCTCGAGGCCTTGTACTAGTTGGCGAGCCTCTGGTGGAAATTGCGAGCCGCGTCCCTGAGGTCCTCGTCGTCGCGTTCGAGTGCAAAGAAACGCGGAGGAATTCTGTCTCAGGATAAGCACAAGGAACGGAACATCTGTCTGCTCAGCCTGAGCCCCCTCTGAAAAAGCTGCTCTGTTTTTCTCTCTCCCCCTCTTTTTTGTCATTGCAGAAAGAACTGCATTGTCAAACGCTGAACTGCTCGGCACCACTACTAGCTACCGCGTTACAATCACTACTACAAGCAGAAGAGCCGTCTGAATGAGCACCGTTTTGTGACGCGCTCACTGTCGATTATCAAGTTTGTTTCTCAGAGTTTGTGCATCATGCCCGCATCAGCCTCTAGCTCACCCTGATCAGTCCCAGAACCTTTCACTGGCCGCTCACAAGTCCAAATCCCGAGGCTCTGCCAGAGCGCAAACAGCTGTCAGCTGAGGCGGCTCTGCACGATTCAACTTCTCCAAATCTCTTTGACATGATGGCGGCCTTTGAACTGCCGCACTTCACATGCCTCGTGTGCGGAGCTCGTTTCCGCTCGCTGCAGGCGCTCGGCGGGCACAAATCCGCGCACAACGGGGGGAACAGTACCGCCGCCAGGGGCAATACTAGGGGGGGCGGTAAGGGGGGAAGCGGAAGAAGCCGCAGCCCGCGCGCCTCTACCCGTTGGCTTCCATCAGTGCTAGGCAGCGCGGGAAAGCTGCTACAAACACCAGGCGAAGGCGGAACTACTAATAAAGCCATGAGTAGCGGTTCTTTTCCAGGCTACTACTATGTGAATCTTCAAGAGGAATCTTGCACGCCTGGCAGTAGTAGTAAACGTGTCAGAGATGCTCTCTCAGCTGCTGCCACTATCGCAACTGGCGCCGCCACCACACCAACCGACGCCACTGCTACTGCCGCTTCCACTGCTGCTGCAGTTGGTTCGGCTGGAGGAGCTGCATTCTTTATAAGCTCGAAATGGGGCACCGTGCGTCAGCGGGTGCAGCAGCACTCTAATAACGAGATCACTGCTGCTGCGGCTGCTACTGCTGCTGCTGGCGCTGGCGCTGGTTCTGCCGCTGCTGCTGCTGTTCATGGGGCAGCGCTAATGCTGGGAGAACCATACAGAACAGCAGAGAACAACCAGCGTCGCTGGCTGTCACACCTCTTCCCATCCCAACGGCCTCTGCCACAAATGGTTGACGCCTCTTCCTGTCCCCCCCTGCTACAGTCACCAAGAGGACTCAAGGATGCATGCGTGGCACCTTCTGATGCATACAGTAGACCTGCTGACGTGTTTGGCACCCCTGCTGACGCATGTCAATCATATGCCAGCTCAGCATGGAGGGGATCGTGGGGCGGAGCAGAGAAGGTGCGTGGCATTCCACCCAGCGCCAGCGTCATGCGGACATATCATTCAAGGCTGCTGCTGAATGCCACGTGGCAGGACAATCCCTTCTCATCCATGCCACCTGGACCACCCATTATGGATAAACCCGCAGCAACGGCGAATGCAACTCACCCCGCTACACCTGCAAATGCTGAATCACCCCAGCTACAACCACGAGCATCGCAGCAGCCAACACAGCAGCTGCTGCTGCAGCCAATGAAAGGGTGGAGGGAAACGCAACAGCAGCATTGGCAGCATCGGCATCAATTGCAGCACGAGCAGCAGCAGCAGGAGTGGCAGCAGCAGCAGCAGCAGCAGCAGCAGCAGCAGCAACTGCAACGGCAGCAGATGCAGCAGCAACGGCACCTCCGTGGATGCGACTTTGGCTGCTACAGCGACAAGCACTCTCCGCCCTTGCTGCTGGCCCCCGCCCCTTCCCTTCCGCACCACCATTCGCCCACACCTCTGCCGACTCATTCAAAAGAACACCCGTTTCCGAGCCCACTAAAACATATGGAATCTCCGCCACTGCTACCGCCATCGGCGTCCACCCATTCCGTTCCGCTCCACCATTTGTCAGTAATTCTGCCAATCCATTCAAGATGGTGACAGTCCAGCCTCCAGCCAATCAGCTCAGTCCGCGCCCGGTTCCACATCCACGTCAGCAAATGCTGGAGATGCCTACGTGGCCGCTGGAGGCACCTTCCTGGATGCTTCGTGATGCAAGGCCAGTGAGGACGCGCACGTGCGTGGACGGCGAGTCGTCTGGTGGTGCGGCTGGTACCCAATCTGGAGCTGCCACGTGGCATGGGATGGAGGACGCACGAATAGGAGAAAGGGGATGGAGCAGCACTGGTGATGGTGGTGGCCATGGTGGTGGTGATCCAGTGAGGGAAGGGGTACGGAGAGAGGCGGCGAATGCAGAGCACACGGAGCAGCATCTGAGCGGGTGTATGAGGGAGATGGGGAAGTGGAGGAGGAGGAACGCGAGGATGAGAAATGATTGTTCAAGGGAGAAGGAGGAGGAGAGGAGGAGGAGCAGCAGCGGCGGTTTTACGAGCCAGTCTCTGCCGGCGTCTAGGAGCCTCGAGGCATGGATGGAGGCAATGGGGATGCGACGACAAGCCGCTGCTGCTCGGCATGCCGCTTCTCACGATCAGCTGCCCCAGGGAGCCCTCCCTGCACGCCCTGCTGCTGTTGCTGCTTCTTCTAATGCTGCTGCAGCTGCTGCTGCTGCCGATGCAGCTTTTGGTGTCGATTATTCTGCTGCTGCTGCTGTTGCTCTTGCTGATACCCCAGGGAGAGAGAGGCCCAACGGGGGAGGAGGGAGCGGGCAGCTGGAAAAGGAAATGGAGGTGGGCTTCAAAGGAGCTGCTTTTGATGCTCCTTATCGGGGCGAAGAGGCTCGTCAAAGGTTGGAGAAGGAAGTGGCGGCGGTGCAACCTTTGAACAAAGAAGATCATCGGTGCGCCGCTGCTGCTGAAACGCTGCTGGGATTAGGAGGGAGAGGAGAGAGGGGCTTCAATGGAGGAGGCCGGAGTGGGAGCAGTCAGATTCGACTGAAACACCATCTAATGCTGCAGGGATTACAGGAGAGGGGTGCACGAACGGCAGTGGCGGACAGGGGTTTGATTGGGGGAGATGCGAGTAAAGGCGGTGGTGCTGTGGCATTTAGTGAGAGGGATGGAGGGAGCTTTCCTCCGCGTGTTGAATGGGTTAGCAGCAGTGGCGCTGGTGCTGGTAATGCCAGCAACGGCGGCAGCCGAAGCAGTAGTGATGGTTGTGTCGGTGGTTGTGGTAATGTTGGCGGTGGCTCTGATGTTAGCAGAGGTGGTCGCAGCAGTGAAGGCCGGTTGACTCTGGAGCAGCAGATTCAGGAGATGTTGGACAATCTGCCGGCTGCTCCTCCTCCCTCCCCCAACCAAACACCACCCCCTCCTGCTGCTGCTGCTTTGCCTACTGCTGCTGCTGCTTTGCCTACTCCAGTCGAGTTTGCTGATCCTGCTGCTACCGCTCCCTCTGCTGCTCCAACTGCTGCTGCTAGTTTCCGAACTGCTGCTGCTGCCGAAGCAATCGCTGCTCGAGCTGGCACTAGCAGTGCATGGGGGGATAGGGCGGATGAGCTGGAGGCTCGGAAAATTTCCAAGGCTCGGCAAGAACTAAACCAGGAACGGGAGGACCGGAGAGAAGACCAGAGGGAAGGAGGTTTTGGGGAGGAAGGGCAAGGAAGTCCGAGGGAAAAGACAGAAGGAAAATTGGGGAAGGGAAGGGAAGGAAGAGTGCAAACGGGGAGGGAATGGAAGCAGGCAGTCTGGGAGGAGGAAAGAGAGGGGGAGGGGTCTGATACGGCACTAACAGAGCAATCAGAGCATACAGAGTCTAATCCTGCTGCAAGTGATGGGATAGGCAATGGCGCATGTGGCGGCTGTGGTGTAGATACTGTAGCAATGGCTCTGGGTGTTGATATTGTAGCTAGACAGGTTACCTTAGATCTGTCACTACACCTGTAAATACCATATAAACAACAAATAATCAATAAGTATCGTCTTTCAGACTTAACCTCAACCTGCAAGGCAAAAGCAAGACAAGTCATTTCAAACCCCACAGCAGCCCATAGAAGCATCAATCAAGCACAACACAACCCACCACCATACTTTCTACCAGTCGGGGTTAATTACCCAAAAAAAAAACTCGCTTAAGCACCCTACTCCTTCTCAGCACACCCCACTCCTCACCGCACTCCACTCCTCAGCAAACCCTACAGATCTTACGGCAGAATCCCAGCTCATACTGCATCTTCCCCGTGCCCTTCATGAACTTTGGGTTCCGCTTGGTGCCCAGTTGCCACACTCCCCAACTTGGTGCCCAGTTGCCACACTCCGCTCCTCCTCACCGCACTCCACTCCTCAGCAGACCCTACAGCTCTTGCGGCAAAAACCCAGCTCATACTGTGTCTTCCCCGTGCCCTTCATGAACTTTGGGTTCTTCTCACACTCGCCCGCCCGCGCCCAGTCGCCACAGTTCGCATCGTCGTCCTGACACGTGCGGATTGCGGAAGTAGAAGACAGGACCACACGTGCGGGTGGGTGAAGTAGAAGACACGACCACACGTGCGGGTGGGTGAAGTAGAAGACACGACACATGAGAAGAAGACACATGAGAAGAAGACACATGAGAAGAAGACACATGAGAAGAAGACACATGAGAAGAAGACACATGAGAAGAAGACACATGAGAAGAAGACACATGAGAAGAAGACACATGAGAAGAAGACACATGAGAAGAAGACACATGAGAAGAAGACACATGAGAAGAAGACACATGAGAAGAAGACACATGAGAAGAAGACACATGAGAAGAAGACACATGAGAAGAAGACACATGAGAAGAAGACACATGAGAAGAAGACACATGAGAAGAAGACACATGAGAAGAAGACACATGAGAAGAAGACACATGAGAAGAAGACACATGAGAAGAAGACACATGAGAAGAAGGAACATGAGAAGAAGACACATGAGAAGAAGACACATGAGAAGAAGACACATGAGAAGAAGACACATGAGAAGAAGACACATGAGAAGAAGACACATGAGAAGAAGACACATGAGAAGAAGACACATGAGAAGAAGACACATGAGAAGAAGACACATGAGAAGAAGACACATGAGAAGAAGACACATGAGAAGAAGACACATGAGAAGAAGACACATGAGAAGAAGACACATGAGAAGAAGACACATGAGAAGAAGACACATGAGAAGAAGACACATGAGAAGAAGACACATGAGAAGAAGACACATGAGAAGAAGACACATGAGAAGAAGACACATGAGAAGAAGACACATGAGAAGAAGACACATGAGAAGAAGACACATGAGAAGAAGACACATGAGAAGAAGACACATGAGAAGAAGACACATGAGAAGAAGACACATGAGAAGAAGACACATGAGAAGAAGACACATGAGAAGAAGACACATGAGAAGAAGACACATGAGAAGAAGACACATGAGAAGAAGACACATGAGAAGAAGACACATGAGAAGAAGACACATGAGAAGAAGACACATGAGAAGAAGACACATGAGAAGAAGACACATGAGAAGAAGACACATGAGAAGAAGACACATGAGAAGAAGACACATGAGAAGAAGACACATGAGAAGAAGACACATGAGAAGAAGACACATGAGAAGAAGACACATGAGAAGAAGACACATGAGAAGAAGACACATGAGAAGAAGACACATGAGAAGAAGACACATGAGAAGAAGACACATGAGAAGAAGACACATGAGAAGAAGACACATGAGAAGAAGACACAATAGAAGACACATGAGAAGAAGACACATGAGAAGAAAGACACATGAGAAGAAGACACATGAGAAGAAGACACATGAGAAGAAGACACATGGAGAAGAAGACACATGAGAAGAAGACACAATGAGAAGAAGACACATGAGAAGAAGACAACATGAGAGAAGACACATGAGAAGAAGACACATGAGAAGAAGACACATGAGAAGAAGACACATGAGAAGAAGACACATGAGAAGAAGACACATGAGAAGAAGACACATGAGAAGAAGACACATGAGAAGAAGACACATGAGAAGAAGACACATGAGAAGAAGACACATAAGAGAAAGAAAGACACATGAGAAGAAGACACATGAGAAGAAGACACATGAGAAGCAGACACATGAGAAGAAGACACTATGAGAAGAAGACACATGAGAAGAAGACACATGAGAAGAAGACACATGAAAGAAGACACATGAGAAGAAGACACATGAGAAGAAGACACATGAGAAGAAGACACATGAGAAGAAGACACATGAGAAGAAGACACATGAGAAGAAGACACATGAGAAGAAGACACATGAGAAGAAGACACATGAGAAGAAGACACATGAGAAGAAGACACATGAGAAGAAGACACATGAGAAGAAGACACATGAGAAGAAGACACATGAGAAGAAGACACATGAGAAGAAGACACATGAGAAGAAGACACATGAGAAGAAGACACATGAGAAGAAGACACATGAGAAGAAGACACATGAGAAGAAGACACATGAGAAGAAGACACATGAGAAGAAGACACATGAGAAGAAGACACATGAGAAGAAGACACATGAGAAGAAGACACATGAGAAGAAGACACATGAGAAGAAGACACATGAGAAGAAGACACATGAGAAGAAGACACATGAGAAGAAGACACATGAGAAGAAGACACATGAGAAGAAGACACATGAGAAGAAGACACATGAGAAGAAGACACATGAGAAGAAGACACATGAGAAGAAGACACATGAGAAGAAGACACATGAGAAGAAGACACATGAGAAGAAGACACATGAGAAGAAGACACATGAGAAGAAGACACATGAGAAGAAGACACATGAGAAGAAGACACATGAGAAGAAGACACATGAGAAGAAGACACATGAGAAGAAGACACATGAGAAGAAGACACATGAGAAGAAGACACATGAGAAGAAGACACATGAGAAGAAGACACATGAGAAGAAGACACATGAGAAGAAGACACATGAGAAGAAGACACATGAGAAGAAGACACATGAGAAGAAGACACATGAGAAGAAGACACATGAGAAGAAGACACATGAGAAGAAGACACATGAGAAGAAGACACATGAGAAGAAGACACATGAGAAGAAGACACATGAGAAGAAGACACATGAGAAGAAGACACATGAGAAGAAGACACATGAGAAGAAGACACATGAGAAGAAGACACATGAGAAGAAGACACATGAGAAGAAGACACATGAGAAGAAGACACATGAGAAGAAGACACATGAGAAGAAGACACATGAGAAGAAGACACATGAGAAGAAGACACATGAGAAGAAGACACATGAGAAGAAGACACATGAGAAGAAGACACATGAGAAGAAGACACATGAGAAGAAGACACATGAGAAGAAGACACATGAGAAGAAGACACATGAGAAGAAGACACATGAGAAGAAGACACATGAGAAGAAGACACATGAGAAGAAGACACATGAGAAGAAGACACATGAGAAGAAGACACATGAGAAGAAGACACATGAGAAGAAGACACATGAGAAGAAGACACATGAGAAGAAGACACATGAGAAGAAGACACATGAGAAGAAGACACATGAGAAGAAGACACATGAGAAGAAGACACATGAGAAGAAGACACATGAGAAGAAGACACATGAGAAGAAGACACATGAGAAGAAGACACATGAGAAGAAGACACATGAGAAGAAGACACATGAGAAGAAGACACATGAGAAGAAGACACATGAGAAGAAGACACATGAGAAGAAGACACATGAGAAGAAGACACATGAGAAGAAGACACATGAGAAGAAGACACATGAGAAGAAGACACATGAGAAGAAGACACATGAGAAGAAGACACATGAGAAGAAGACACATGAGAAGAAGACACATGAGAAGAAGACACATGAGAAGAAGACACATGAGAAGAAGACACATGAGAAGAAGACACATGAGAAGAAGACACATGAGAAGAAGACACATGAGAAGAAGACACATGAGAAGAAGACACATGAGAAGAAGACACATGAGAAGAAGACACATGAGAAGAAGACACATGAGAAGAAGACACATGAGAAGAAGACACATGAGAAGAAGACACATGAGAAGAAGACACATGAGAAGAAGACACATGAGAAGAAGACACATGAGAAGAAGACACATGAGAAGAAGACACATGAGAAGAAGACACATGAGAAGAAGACACATGAGAAGAAGACACATGAGAAGAAGACACATGAGAAGAAGACACATGAGAAGAAGACACATGAGAAGAAGACACATGAGAAGAAGACACATGAGAAGAAGACACATGAGAAGAAGACACATGAGAAGAAGACACATGAGAAGAAGACACATGAGAAGAAGACACATGAGAAGAAGACACATGAGAAGAAGACACATGAGAAGAAGACACATGAGAAGAAGACACATGAGAAGAAGACACATGAGAAGAAGACACATGAGAAGAAGACACATGAGAAGAAGACACATGAGAAGAAGACACATGAGAAGAAGACACATGAGAAGAAGACACATGAGAAGAAGACACATGAGAAGAAGACACATGAGAAGAAGACACATGAGAAGAAGACACATGAGAAGAAGACACATGAGAAGAAGACACATGAGAAGAAGACACATGAGAAGAAGACACATGAGAAGAAGACACATGAGAAGAAGACACATGAGAAGAAGACACATGAGAAGAAGACACATGAGAAGAAGACACATGAGAAGAAGACACATGAGAAGAAGACACATGAGAAGAAGACACATGAGAAGAAGACACATGAGAAGAAGACACATGAGAAGAAGACACATGAGAAGAAGACACATGAGAAGAAGACACATGAGAAGAAGACACATGAGAAGAAGACACATGAGAAGAAGACACATGAGAAGAAGACACATGAGAAGAAGACACATGAGAAGAAGACACATGAGAAGAAGACACATGAGAAGAAGACACATGAGAAGAAGACACATGAGAAGAAGACACATGAGAAGAAGACACATGAGAAGAAGACACATGAGAAGAAGACACATGAGAAGAAGACACATGAGAAGAAGACACATGAGAAGAAGACACATGAGAAGAAGACACATGAGAAGAAGACACATGAGAAGAAGACACATGAGAAGAAGACACATGAGAAGAAGACACATGAGAAGAAGACACATGAGAAGAAGACACATGAGAAGAAGACACATGAGAAGAAGACACATGAGAAGAAGACACATGAGAAGAAGACACATGAGAAGAAGACACATGAGAAGAAGACACATGAGAAGAAGACACATGAGAAGAAGACACATGAGAAGAAGACACATGAGAAGAAGACACATGAGAAGAAGACACATGAGAAGAAGACACATGAGAAGAAGACACATGAGAAGAAGACACATGAGAAGAAGACACATGAGAAGAAGACACATGAGAAGAAGACACATGAGAAGAAGACACATGAGAAGAAGACACATGAGAAGAAGACACATGAGAAGAAGACACATGAGAAGAAGACACATGAGAAGAAGACACATGAGAAGAAGACACATGAGAAGAAGACACATGAGAAGAAGACACATGAGAAGAAGACACATGAGAAGAAGACACATGAGAAGAAGACACATGAGAAGAAGACACATGAGAAGAAGACACATGAGAAGAAGACACATGAGAAGAAGACACATGAGAAGAAGACACATGAGAAGAAGACACATGAGAAGAAGACACATGAGAAGAAGACACAGGAGAAGAAGACACATGAGAAGAAGACACATGAGAAGAAGACACATGAGAAGAAGACACATGAGAAGAAGACACATGAGAAGAAGACACATGAGAAGAAGACACATGAGAAGAAGACACATGAGAAGAAGACACATGAGAAGAAGACACATGAGAAGAAAGACACATGAGAAGAAGAACACATGAGAAGAAGACACATGAGAAGAAGACACATGAGAAGAAGACACATGAGAAAGAAGACACATGAGAAGAAGACACATGAGCAGAAGACACATGAGAAGAAGACACATGAGAAGAAGACACATGAGAAGAAGACACATGAGAAGAAGACACATGAGAAGAAGACACATGAGAAGAAGACACATGAGAAGAAGACACATGAGAAGAAGACACATGAGAAGAAGACACATGAGAAGAAGACACATGAGAAGAAGACACATGAGAAGAAGACACATGAGAGAAGACACATGAGAAGAAGACACATGAGAAGAAGACACATGAGAAGAAGACACATGAGAAGAAGACACATGAGAAGAAGACACATGAGAAGAGAGACACATGAGAAGAAGACACATGAGAAGAAGACACAGTGAGAAGAAGACAACATGAGAAGAAGACACATGAGAGAAGACACATGAGAAGAAGACACATGAGAAGAAGGAAGACACATGAGAAGGAAGACACATGAGAAGAAGACACATGAGAAGACGACACATGAGAAGACAGACACATGAGAAGAAGAACATGAGAAGAAGACACATGAGAAAGAAGACACATGAGAAGAAGACACATGAGAAGAAGACAGCATGAGAAGAAAGACACATGAGAAGAAGACACATGAGAAGAAGACACATGAGAAGAAGACACATGAGAAGAAGACACATGAGAAGAAGACACATGAGAAGAAGGGACACATGAGAAGAAGACACATGAGAAAGAAGCAATGAGAAGAAGACACATGAGAAGAAGACACATGAGAAGAAGGACACCAGAGATGAAGGACACATGAGAAGAAGACACATGAGAGAAGACACATGAGAAGAAGGACACATGAGAAGAAGACACATGAGAAGAAGGACACATGAGAAGAAGACACATGAGAAGAATACACATGAGAAGAAGACACATGAGAAGAAGACACATGAGAAGAAGACACATGAGAAGAAGACACATGAGAAGAAGACACATGAGAAGAAGACACATGAGAAGAAGACACATGAGAAGAAGACACATGAGAAGAAGACACATGAGAAGAAGACACATGAGAAGAAGACACATGAGAAGAAGACACATGAGAAGAAGACACATGAGAAGAAGACACATGAGAAGAAGACACATGAGAAGAAGACACATGAGAAGAAGACACATGAGAAGAAGACACATGAGAAGAAGACACATGAGAAGAAGACACATGAGAAGAAGACACATGAGAAGAAGACACATGAGAAGAAGACACATGAGAAGAAGACACATGAGAAGAAGACACATGAGAAGAAGACACATGAGAAGAAGACACATGAGAAGAAGACACATGAGAAGAAGACACATGAGAAGAAGACACATGAGAAGAAGACACATGAGAAGAAGACACATGAGAAGAAGACACATGAGAAGAAGACACATGAGAAGAAGACACATGAGAAGAAGACACATGAGAAGAAGACACATGAGAAGAAGACACATGAGAAGAAGACACATGAGAAGAAGACACATGAGAAGAAGACACATGAGAAGAAGACACATGAGAAGAAGACACATGAGAAGAAGACACATGAGAAGAAGACACATGAGAAGAAGACACATGAGAAGAAGACACATGAGAAGAAGACACATGAGAAGAAGACACATGAGAAGAAGACACATGAGAAGAAGACACATGAGAAGAAGACACATGAGAAGAAGACACATGAGAAGAAGACACATGAGAAGAAGACACATGAGAAGAAGACACATGAGAAGAAGACACATGAGAAGAAGACACATGAGAAGAAGACACATGAGAAGAAGACACATGAGAAGAAGACACATGAGAAGAAGACACATGAGAAGAAGACACATGAGAAGAAGACACATGAGAAGAAGACACATGAGAAGAAGACACATGAGAAGAAGACACATGAGAAGAAGACACATGAGAAGAAGACACATGAGAAGAAGACACATGAGAAGAAGACACATGAGAAGAAGACACATGAGAAGAAGACACATGAGAAGAAGACACATGAGAAGAAGACACATGAGAAGAAGACACATGAGAAGAAGACACATGAGAAGAAGACACATGAGAAGAAGACACATGAGAAGAAGACACATGAGAAGAAGACACATGAGAAGAAGACACATGAGAAGAAGACACATGAGAAGAAGACACATGAGAAGAAGACACATGAGAAGAAGACACATGAGAAGAAGACACATGAGAAGAAGACACATGAGAAGAAGACACATGAGAAGAAGACACATGAGAAGAAGACACATGAGAAGAAGACACATGAGAAGAAGACACATGAGAAGAAGACACATGAGAAGAAGACACATGAGAAGAAGACACATGAGAAGAAGACACATGAGAAGAAGACACATGAGAAGAAGACACATGAGAAGAAGACACATGAGAAGAAGACACATGAGAAGAAGACACATGAGAAGAAGACACATGAGAAGAAGACACATGAGAAGAAGACACATGAGAAGAAGACACATGAGAAGAAGACACATGAGAAGAAGACACATGAGAAGAAGACACATGAGAAGAAGACACATGAGAAGAAGACACATGAGAAGAAGACACATGAGAAGAAGACACATGAGAAGAAGACACATGAGAAGAAGACACATGAGAAGAAGACACATGAGAAGAAGACACATGAGAAGAAGACACATGAGAAGAAGACACATGAGAAGAAGACACATGAGAAGAAGACACATGAGAAGAAGACACATGAGAAGAAGACACATGAGAAGAAGACACATGAGAAGAAGACACATGAGAAGAAGACACATGAGAAGAAGACACATGAGAAGAAGACACATGAGAAGAAGACACATGAGAAGAAGACACATGAGAAGAAGACACATGAGAAGAAGACACATGAGAAGAAGACACATGAGAAGAAGACACATGAGAAGAAGACACATGAGAAGAAGACACATGAGAAGAAGACACATGAGAAGAAGACACATGAGAAGAAGACACATGAGAAGAAGACACATGAGAAGAAGACACATGAGAAGAAGACACATGAGAAGAAGACACATGAGAAGAAGACACATGAGAAGAAGACACATGAGAAGAAGACACATGAGAAGAAGACACATGAGAAGAAGACACATGAGAAGAAGACACATGAGAAGAAGACACATGAGAAGAAGACACATGAGAAGAAGACACATGAGAAGAAGACACATGAGAAGAAGACACATGAGAAGAAGACACATGAGAAGAAGACACATGAGAAGAAGACACATGAGAAGAAGACACATGAGAAGAAGACACATGAGAAGAAGACACATGAGAAGAAGACACATGAGAAGAAGACACATGAGAAGAAGACACATGAGAAGAAGACACATGAGAAGAAGACACATGAGAAGAAGACACATGAGAAGAAGACACATGAGAAGAAGACACATGAGAAGAAGACACATGAGAAGAAGACACATGAGAAGAAGACACATGAGAAGAAGACACATGAGAAGAAGACACATGAGAAGAAGACACATGAGAAGAAGACACATGAGAAGAAGACACATGAGAAGAAGACACATGAGAAGAAGACACATGAGAAGAAGACACATGAGAAGAAGACACATGAGAAGAAGACACATGAGAAGAAGACACATGAGAAGAAGACACATGAGAAGAAGACACATGAGAAGAAGACACATGAGAAGAAGACACATGAGAAGAAGACACATGAGAAGAAGACACATGAGAAGAAGACACATGAGAAGAAGACACATGAGAAGAAGACACATGAGAAGAAGACACATGAGAAGAAGACACATGAGAAGAAGACACATGAGAAGAAGACACATGAGAAGAAGACACATGAGAAGAAGACACATGAGAAGAAGACACATGAGAAGAAGACACATGAGAAGAAGACACATGAGAAGAAGACACATGAGAAGAAGACACATGAGAAGAAGACACATGAGAAGAAGACACATGAGAAGAAGACACATGAGAAGAAGACACATGAGAAGAAGACACATGAGAAGAAGACACATGAGAAGAAGACACATGAGAAGAAGACACATGAGAAGAAGACACATGAGAAGAAGACACATGAGAAGAAGACACATGAGAAGAAGACACATGAGAAGAAGACACATGAGAAGAAGACACATGAGAAGAAGACACATGAGAAGAAGACACATGAGAAGAAGACACATGAGAAGAAGACACATGAGAAGAAGACACATGAGAAGAAGACACATGAGAAGAAGACACATGAGAAGAAGACACATGAGAAGAAGACACATGAGAAGAAGACACATGAGAAGAAGACACATGAGAAGAAGACACATGAGAAGAAGACACATGAGAAGAAGACACATGAGAAGAAGACACATGAGAAGAAGACACATGAGAAGAAGACACATGAGAAGAAGACACATGAGAAGAAGACACATGAGAAGAAGACACATGAGAAGAAGACACATGAGAAGAAGACACATGAGAAGAAGACACATGAGAAGAAGACACATGAGAAGAAGACACATGAGAAGAAGACACATGAGAAGAAGACACATGAGAAGAAGACACATGAGAAGAAGACACATGAGAAGAAGACACATGAGAAGAAGACACATGAGAAGAAGACACATGAGAAGAAGACACATGAGAAGAAGACACATGAGAAGAAGACACATGAGAAGAAGACACATGAGAAGAAGACACATGAGAAGAAGACACATGAGAAGAAGACACATGAGAAGAAGACACATGAGAAGAAGACACATGAGAAGAAGACACATGAGAAGAAGACACATGAGAAGAAGACACATGAGAAGAAGACACATGAGAAGAAGACACATGAGAAGAAGACACATGAGAAGAAGACACATGAGAAGAAGACACATGAGAAGAAGACACATGAGAAGAAGACACATGAGAAGAAGACACATGAAGAAGACCATGAGAAGAAGACACATGAGAAGAAGACACATGAGAAGAAGACACATGAGAAGAAGACACATGAGAAGAAGACACATGAGAAGAAGACACATGAGAAGAAGACACATGAGAAGAAGACACATGAGAAGAAGACACATGAGAAGAAGACACATGAGAAGAAGACACATGAGAAGAAGACACATGAGAAGAAGACACATGAGAAAGACACATGAGAAGACACATGAGAAGAAGACACATGAGAAGAAGACACATGAGAAGAAGACACATGAGAAGAAGACACATGAGAAGAGGACACATGAGAAGAAGACACATGAGAAGAAGACACATGAGAAGAAGACACATGAGAAGAAGACACATGAAGAACATGAAGAAGACACATGAGAAGAAGACACATGAGAAGAAGACACATGAGAAGAAGACACATGAGAAGAAGACACATGAGAAGAAGACACATGAGAAGAAGACACATGAGAAGAAGACACATGAGAAGAAGACACATGAGAAGAAGACACATGAGAAGAAGACACATGAGAAGAAGACACATGAGAAGACGACACATGAGAAGAAGACACATGAGAAGAAGACACATGAGAAGAAGACACATGAGAAGAAGACACATGAGAAGAAGACACACTGAGAAGAAGACACATGAGAAGGAAGGACACATGAGAAGAAGACACATGAGAAGAAGACACATGAGAAGAAGAAACATGAGAAGAAGACACATGAGAACAAGGAAGACACATGAGAGAAGACACATGAGAAGAGACACATGTAGAAGAAGACACATGAGAAGAAGACACATGAGAAGAAGACACATGAGAAGAAGACACATGAGAAGACGACACATGAGAAGAAGACACATGAGAAGAAGACACATGAGAAGAAGAACATGAGAAGAAGACACATGAGAAGAAGACACATGAGAAGAAGACACATGAGAAGAAGACACATGAGAAGAAGACACATGAGAAGAAGACACATGAGAAGAAGACACATGAGAAGGAAGACACATGAGAAGAAGACACATGAGAAGAAGACACATGAGAAGAAGACACATGAGAAGAAGACACATGAGAAGAAGACACATGAGAAGAAGACACATGAGAAGAAGACACAGGAGAAGAAGACACATGAGAAGAAGACACATGAGAAGAAGACACATGAGAAGAAGACACATGAGAAGAAGACACATGAGAAGAAGACACATGAGAAGAAGACACATGAGAAGAAGACACATGAGAAGAAGACACATGAGAAGAAGACACATGAGAAGAAGACACATGAGAAGAAGACACATGAGAAGAAGACACATGAGAAGAAGACACATGAGAAGAAGACACATGAGAAGAAGACACATGAGAAGAAGACACATGAGAAGAAGACACATGAGAAGAAGACACATGAGAAGAAGACACATGAGAAGAAGACACATGAGAAGAAGACACATGAGAAGAAGACACATGAGAAGAAGACACATGAGAAGAAGACACATGAGAAGAAGACACATGAGAAGAAGACACATGAGAAGAAGACACATGAGAAGAAGACACATGAGAAGAAGACACATGAGAAGAAGACACATGAGAAGAAGACACATGAGAAGAAGACACATGAGAAGAAGACACATGAGAAGAAGACACATGAGAAGAAGACACATGAGAAGAAGACACATGAGAAGAAGACACATGAGAAGAAGACACATGAGAAGAAGACACATGAGAAGAAGACACATGAGAAGAAGACACATGAGAAGAAGACACATGAGAAGAAGACACATGAGAAGAAGACACATGAGAAGAAGACACATGAGAAGAAGACACATGAGAAGAAGACACATGAGAAGAAGACACATGAGAAGAAGACACATGAGAAGAAGACACATGAGAAGAAGACACATGAGAAGAAGACACATGAGAAGAAGACACATGAGAAGAAGACACATGAGAAGAAGACACATGAGAAGAAGACACATGAGAAGAAGACACATGAGAAGAAGACACATGAGAAGAAGACACATGAGAAGAAGACACATGAGAAGAAGACACATGAGAAGAAGACACATGAGAAGAAGACACATGAGAAGAAGACACATGAGAAGAAGACACATGAGAAGAAGACACATGAGAAGAAGACACATGAGAAGAAGACACATGAGAAGAAGACACATGAGAAGAAGACACATGAGAAGAAGACACATGAGAAGAAGACACATGAGAAGAAGACACATGAGAAGAAGACACATGAGAAGAAGACACATGAGAAGAAGACACATGAGAAGAAGACACATGAGAAGAAGACACATGAGAAGAAGACACATGAGAAGAAGACACATGAGAAGAAGACACATGAGAAGAAGACACATGAGAAGAAGACACATGAGAAGAAGACACATGAGAAGAAGACACATGAGAAGAAGACACATGAGAAGAAGACACATGAGAAGAAGACACATGAGAAGAAGACACATGAGAAGAAGACACATGAGAAGAAGACACATGAGAAGAAGACACATGAGAAGAAGACACATGAGAAGAAGACACATGAGAAGAAGACACATGAGAAGAAGACACATGAGAAGAAGACACATGAGAAGAAGACACATGAGAAGAAGACACATGAGAAGAAGACACATGAGAAGAAGACACATGAGAAGAAGACACATGAGAAGAAGACACATGAGAAGAAGACACATGAGAAGAAGACACATGAGAAGAAGACACATGAGAAGAAGACACATGAGAAGAAGACACATGAGAAGAAGACACATGAGAAGAAGACACATGAGAAGAAGACACATGAGAAGAAGACACATGAGAAGAAGACACATGAGAAGAAGACACATGAGAAGAAGACACATGAGAAGAAGACACATGAGAAGAAGACACATGAGAAGAAGACACATGAGAAGAAGACACATGAGAAGAAGACACATGAGAAGAAGACACATGAGAAGAAGACACATGAGAAGAAGACACATGAGAAGAAGACACATGAGAAGAAGACACATGAGAAGAAGACACATGAGAAGAAGACACATGAGAAGAAGACACATGAGAAGAAGACACATGAGAAGAAGACACATGAGAAGAAGACACATGAGAAGAAGACACATGAGAAGAAGACACATGAGAAGAAGACACATGAGAAGAAGACACATGAGAAGAAGACACATGAGAAGAAGACACATGAGAAGAAGACACATGAGAAGAAGACACATGAGAAGAAGACACATGAGAAGAAGACACATGAGAAGAAGACACATGAGAAGAAGACACATGGAGAAGAAGACACATGAGAAGAAGACACATGAGAAGAAGACACATGAGAAGAAGAACCATGAGAAGAAGACACATGAGAAGAAGACACATGAGAAGAAAGACACATGGAGAAGAAGACACATGAGAAGAATACCATGAGAAGAAGACACATGAGAAGAAGACCCATGGAGAAGAAGACACATGAGAAGAGACACATGAGAAGAAGACACATGAGAAGAAGACACATGAGAAGAAGACACATGAGAAGAAGACACATGAGAAGAAGACACATGAGAAAGAAGACACATGAGAAGAAGACAACATGAGAAGAAGACACATGAGAAGAAGACACATGAGAAGAAGACACATTGAGAAGAAGGACACATGAGAAGAAGACACATGAGAAGAAGACACATGAGAAGAAGACACATGAGAAGAAGACACATGAGAAGAAGACACATGAGAAGAAGACACATGAGAAGAACTTTTTTGACACATGAGAAGAAGACACATGAGAAGAAGGACACACATGAGAAGAAGACACATGAGAAGAAGACACATGAGAAGAACGACACATGAGAAGAAGACACATGAGAAGACGACACATGAGAAGAAGACACATGAGAAGAAGGACACATGAGAAGAAGACACATGAGAAGAAGACACATGAGAAGAAGACACCATGAGGGAAGACAGACACATGAGAAGAAGACACATGAGAAGAAGACACATGAGAAGAAGACACATGAGAAGAAGACACATGAGAAAGAAGACACATGAGAAGAAGACACATGAGAAGAAGACACAGAGAAGAAGACACATGAGAAGAAGACACATGAGAAGAAGGACACATGAGAAGAAGACACATGAGAAGAAGACACATGAGAAGAAGACACATGAGAAGAAGACACAGAGAAGAAGACACATGAGAAGAAGACACATGAGAAGAAGACACATGAGAGAAGACACATGAGAAGAAGACACATGAGAAGAAGACACATGAGAAGAAGACACATGAGAAGAAGACACATGAGAAGAAGACACATGAGAAGAAGACACATGAGAAGAAGACACATGAGAAGAAGACACATGAGAAGAAGACACATGAGAAGAAGACACATGAGAAGAAGACACATGAGAAGGAAGACACATGAGAAGAAGACCACATGAGAAGAAGACACATGAGAAGAAGACAATGAGAAGAAGACACATGAGAAGAAGACACATGAGAAGAAGACACATGAGAGAAGAACAACATGAGAAGAAGACACATGAGAAGAAGACACATGAGAAGAAGACACATGAGAAGAAGACACATGAGAAGAAGACACATGAGAAGAAGACACATGAGAAGAAGACACATGAGAAGAAGACACATGAGAAGAAGACACATGAGAAGAAGACACATGAGAAGAAGACACATGAGAAGAAGACACATGAGAAGAAGACACATGAGAAGAAGACCACATGAGAAGAAGACACATGAGAAGAAGACACATGAGAGAAGACACATGAGAAGAAGACACATGAGAAGAAGACACATGAGAAGAAGACACATGAGAAGAAGACACATGAGAAGAAGACACATGAGAAGAAGACACATGAGAAGAAGACACATGAGAAGAAGACACATGAGAAGAAGACACATGAGAAGAAGACACATGAGAAGAAGACACATGAGAAGAAGACACATGAGAAGAAGACACATGAGAAGAAGACACATGAGAAGAAGACACATGAGAAGAAGACACATGAGAAGAAGACACATGAGAAGAAGACACATGAGAAGAAGACACATGAGAAGAAGACACATGAGAAGAAGACACATGAGAAGAAGACACATGAGAAGAAGACACATGAGAAGAAGACACATGAGAAGAAGACACATGAGAAGAAGACACATGAGAAGAAGACACATGAGAAGAAGACACATGAGAAGAAGACACATGAGAAGAAGACACATGAGAAGAAGACACATGAGAAGAAGACACATGAGAAGAAGACACATGAGAAGAAGACACATGAGAAGAAGACACATGAGAAGAAGACACATGAGAAGAAGACACATGAGAAGAAGACACATGAGAAGAAGACACATGAGAAGAAGGACACATGAGAAGAGCACATGAGAAGAGACACATGAGAAGAAGGACACATGAGAAGAAGACACATGAGAAGAAGACACATGAGAAGAAGGACACATGAGATAGAAGACACATGAGAAGAAGACACTGAGAAGAAGACACATGAGAAGAAGACACATGAGAAGAAGACACATGAGAAGAAGACACATGAGAAGAAGACCACATGAGAAGAAGACACATGAGAAGAAGACACATGAGAGAAGACACATGAGAAGAAGACACATGAGAAGAAGACACATGAGAAGAAGACACATGAGAAGAAGACACATGAGAAGAGACACATGAGAAGAAGACACATGAGAAGAAGGACACCTGAGAAGAAGGACACATGAGAAGAAGACACATGAGAAGAAGACACATGAGAAGAAGACACATGAGAAGAAGACACATGAGAAGAAAGACACATGAGAAGAAGACACATGAGAAGAAGACACATGAGAAGAAGACACATGAGAAGAAGACACATGAGAAGAAGACACATGAGAAGAAGACACATGAGAAGAAGACACATGAGAAGAAGACACATGAGAAGAAGGACACATGAGAAGAAGGACACATGAGAAGAAGACACATGAGAAGAAGACACATGAGAAGAAGACACCTGAGAAGAAGACACATTGAGAAGAAGACACATGAGAAGAAGACACATGAGAAGAAGACACATGAGAAGAAGACACATGAGAAGAAGACACATGAGAAGAAGACACATGAGAAGAAGACACATGAGAAGAAGGACACATGAGAAGGAAGACACATGAGAAGAAGACACATGAGAGAAGAAGACACATGAGAAGAAGACACATGAAGAAGAAGACACATGAGAAGGAAGACACATGAGAAGACGACACATGAGAAGAAGACAACCATGAGAAGAAGACACATGAGAAGAAGACACATGAGAGAAGACACATGAGAAGAAGACACATGAGAAGAAGACACATGAGAAGAAGACACATGAGAAGAAGACACATGAGAAGAAGACACATGAGACGAAGACACATGAGAAGGACGAACATGAGAAGAAGGACACATGAGAAGAAGACACATGAGTGCAGAAGACACATGAGAAGAAGGACACATGAGAAGAAGACACATGAGAAGAAGACACATGAGAAGAAGACACATGAGAAGAAGACACATGAGAAGAAGACACATGAGAAGAAGACACATGAGAAGAAGACACATGAGAAGAAGACACATGAGAAGAAGACACATGAGAAGAAGACACATGAGAAGAAGACACATGAGAAGAAGACACATGAGAAGAAGACACATGAGAAGAAGACACATGAGAAGAAGACACATGAGAAGAAGACACATGAGAAGAAGACACATGAGAAGAAGACACATGAGAAGAAGACACATGAGAAGAAGACACATGAGAAGAAGACACATGAGAAGAAGACACATGAGAAGAAGACACATGAGAAGAAGACACATGAGAAGAAGACACATGAGAAGAAGACACATGAGAAGAAGACACATGAGAAGAAGACACATGAGAAGAAGACACATGAGAAGAAGACACATGAGAAGAAGACACATGAGAAGAAGACACATGAGAAGAAGACACATGAGAAGAAGACACATGAGAAGAAGACACATGAGAAGAAGACACATGAGAAGAAGACACATGAGAAGAAGACACATGAGAAGAAGACACATGAGAAGAAGACACATGAGAAGAAGACACATGAGAAGAAGACACATGAGAAGAAGACACATGAGAAGAAGACACATGAGAAGAAGACACATGAGAAGAAGACACATGAGAAGAAGACACATGAGAAGAAGACACATGAGAAGAAGACACATGAGAAGAAGACACATGAGAAGAAGACACATGAGAAGAAGACACATGAGAAGAAGACACATGAGAAGAAGACACATGAGAAGAAGACACATGAGAAGAAGACACATGAGAAGAAGACACATGAGAAGAAGACACATGAGAAGAAGACACATGAGAAGAAGACACATGAGAAGAAGACACATGAGAAGAAGACACATGAGAAGAAGACACATGAGAAGAAGACACATGAGAAGAAGACACATGAGAAGAAGACACATGAGAAGAAGACACATGAGAAGAAGACACATGAGAAGAAGACACATGAGAAGAAGACACATGAGAAGAAGACACATGAGAAGAAGACACATGAGAAGAAGACACATGAGAAGAAGACACATGAGAAGAAGACACATGAGAAGAAGACACATGAGAAGAAGACACATGAGAAGAAGACACATGAGAAGAAGACACATGAGAAGAAGACACATGAGAAGAAGACACATGAGAAGAAGACACATGAGAAGAAGACACATGAGAAGAAGACACATGAGAAGAAGACACATGAGAAGAAGACACATGAGAAGAAGACACATGAGAAGAAGACACATGAGAAGAAGACACATGAGAAGAAGACACATGAGAAGAAGACACATGAGAAGAAGACACATGAGAAGAAGACACATGAGAAGAAGACACATGAGAAGAAGACACATGAGAAGAAGACACATGAGAAGAAGACACATGAGAAGAAGACACATGAGAAGAAGACACATGAGAAGAAGACACATGAGAAGAAGACACATGAGAAGAAGACACATGAGAAGAAGACACATGAGAAGAAGACACATGAGAAGAAGACACATGAGAAGAAGACACATGAGAAGAAGACACATGAGAAGAAGACACATGAGAAGAAGACACATGAGAAGAAGACACATGAGAAGAAGACACATGAGAAGAAGACACATGAGAAGAAGACACATGAGAAGAAGACACATGAGAAGAAGACACATGAGAAGAAGACACATGAGAAGAAGACACATGAGAAGAAGACACATGAGAAGAAGACACATGAGAAGAAGACACATGAGAAGAAGACACATGAGAAGAAGACACATGAGAAGAAGACACATGAGAAGAAGACACATGAGAAGAAGACACATGAGAAGAAGACACATGAGAAGAAGACACATGAGAAGAAGACACATGAGAAGAAGACACATGAGAAGAAGACACATGAGAAGAAGACACATGAGAAGAAGACACATGAGAAGAAGACACATGAGAAGAAGACACATGAGAAGAAGACACATGAGAGAGACACATGAGAAGAAGACACATGAGAAGAAGACACATGAGAAGAAGACACATGAGAAGAAGACACATGAGAAGAAGACACATGAGAAGAAGACCAACATGAGAAGAAGACACATGAGAAGAAGACACATGAGAAGAAGACACATGAGAAGAAGACACATGAGAAGAAGACACATGAGAAGAAGACACATGAGAAGAAGACACATGAGAAGAAGACACATGAGAAGAAGACACATGAGAAGAAGACACATGAGAAGAAGCACATGAGAAGAAGACACATGAGAAGAAGACACATGAGAAGAAGACACATGAGAAGAAGACACATGAGAAGGAAGACACATGAGAAGAAGACACATGAGAAGACGACACATGAGAATGAAGACCACATGAGAAGAAGACACATGAGAAGAAGACACATGAGAAGAAGACACATGAGAAGAAGACACATGAGAAGAAGAACACATGAGAAGAAGACACATGAGAAGAAGACACATGAGAAGAAGACACATGAGAAGAAGACACATGAGAAGAAGACACATGAGAAGAAGACACATGAGAAACATGAGAAGAGGACACATGAGAAGCAAGACACATTAGGAACAAAAGAAGACACATGAGAAGAAGACACATGAGAAGAAGACACATGAGAAGAAGACACATGAGAAGAAGACACATGAGAAGAAGACACATGAGAAGAAGACACATGAGAAGAAGACACATGAGAAGAAGACACATGAGAAGAAGACACATGAGAAGAAGACACATGAGAAGAAGACACATGAGAAGAAGACACATGATGAAGAAGACACATGAGAAGAAGGACACATGAGAAGAAGACACATGAGAAGAAGACACATGAGAAGAAGACACATGAGAAGAAGACACATGAGAAGAAGACACATGAGAAGAAGACACATGAGAAGAAGACACATGAGAAGACGACACATGAGAAGAAGACACATGAGAAGAAGACACATGAGAAGAAGACACATGAGAAGAGACACATGAGAAGAAGACACATGAGAAGAAGACACTGAGAAGAAGACACATGAGAAGAAGACACATGAGAAGAAGACACATGAGAAGAAGACACATGAGAAGAAGACACATGAGAAGAAGACACATGAGAAGAAGGACACATGAGAAGAACACATGAGAAGAAGACACATGAGAAGAAGACACATGAGAAGAAGACACATGAGAAGAAGACACATGAGAAGAAGACACATGAGAAGATGACACATGAGAAGAAGAACATGAGAAGAAGACACATGAGAAGAAGACACATTGATGAAGAAGACACATGAGAAGGAAGACACATGAGAGAAGACACATGAGAAGAAGACACATGAGAGAAGAAGACACATGAGAAGAAGACACATGAGAAGAAGACACATGAGAAGAAGACACATGAGAAGAAGACACATGAGAAGAAGACACATGAGAAGAAGACACATGAGAAGAAGACACATGGAGAAGAAGACACATGAGAAGAAGACACATGAGAAGAAGACACATGAGAAGAAGACACATGAGAAGAAGACACATGAGAAGAAGACACATGAGAAGAAGACACATGAGAAGAAGACACCATGAGAAGAAGACACATGAGAAGAAGACACATGAGAAGAAGACACATGAGAAGACGACACATGAGAAGAAGACACATGAGAAGAAGACACATGAGAAGAAGACACATGAGAAGAAGACACATGAGAAGAAGACACATGAGAAGAAGGGACACATGAGAAGAAGACACATGAGAAGAAGACACATGAGAAGAAGACACATGAGAAGAAGACACATGAGAAGAAGGACACATGAGAAGAAGACACATGAGAAGAAGACACATGAGAAGAAGACACATGAGAAGAAGACACATGAGAAGAAGACACATGAGAAGAAGACACATGAAGAAGAAGACACATGAGAAGAAGACACATGAGAAGAAGACACATGAGAAGAAGACACATGAGAAGAAGACACATGAGAAGAAGACACATGAGAAGAAGACACATGAGAAAGAAAGACACATGAGAAGACGACACATGAGAGAAGACCCTAGAGAAGTAAGACCACATGAGAAGAAGACACATGAGAAGAAGACACATGAGAAAGAAGACACATGAGAAGAAGACACATGAGAAGAAGACACAGAGAAGCAGACACATGAGAAGAAGACACATGAGAAGAAGACACATGAGAAGGAAGGACACATGAGAAGAAGACACATGAGAAGAAGACACATGAGAAGAAGACACATGAGAAGAAGACACATGAGAAGAAGACACATGAGAAGAAGACACATGAGAAGAAGACACATGAGAAGAAGACACATGAGAAGAAGACACATGAGAAGAAGACACATGAGAAGAAGACACATGAGAAGAAGACACATGAGAAGAAGACACATGAGAAGAAGACACATGAGAAGAAGACACATGAGAAGAAGACACATGAGAAGAAGACACATGAGAAGAAGACACATGAGAAGAAGACACATGAGAAGAAGACACATGAGAAGAAGACACATGAGAAGAAGACACATGAGAAGAAGACACATGAGAAGAAGACACATGAGAAGAAGACACATGAGAAGAAGACACATGAGAAGAAGACACATGAGAAGAAGACACATGAGAAGAAGACACATGAGAAGAAGACACATGAGAAGAAGACACATGAGAAGAAGACACATGAGAAGAAGACACATGAGAAGAAGACACATGAGAAGAAGACACATGAGAAGAAGACACATGAGAAGAAGACACATGAGAAGAAGACACATGAGAAGAAGACACATGAGAAGAAGACACATGAGAAGAAGACACATGAGAAGAAGACACATGAGAAGAAGACACATGAGAAGAAGACACATGAGAAGAAGACACATGAGAAGAAGACACATGAGAAGAAGACACATGAGAAGAAGACACATGAGAAGAAGACACATGAGAAGAAGACACATGAGAAGAAGACACATGAGAAGAAGACACATGAGAAGAAGACACATGAGAAGAAGACACATGAGAAGAAGACACATGAGAAGAAGACACATGAGAAGAAGACACATGAGAAGAAGACACATGAGAAGAAGACACATGAGAAGAAGACACATGAGAAGAAGACACATGAGAAGAAGACACATGAGAAGAAGACACATGAGAAGAAGACACATGAGAAGAAGACACATGAGAAGAAGACACATGAGAAGAAGACACATGAGAAGAAGACACATGAGAAGAAGACACATGAGAAGAAGACACATGAGAAGAAGACACATGAGAAGAAGACACATGAGAAGAAGACACATGAGAAGAAGACACATGAGAAGAAGACACATGAGAAGAAGACACATGAGAAGAAGACACATGAGAAGAAGACACATGAGAAGAAGACACATGAGAAGAAGACACATGAGAAGAAGACACATGAGAAGAAGACACATGAGAAGAAGACACATGAGAAGAAGACACATGAGAAGAAGACACATGAGAAGAAGACACATGAGAAGAAGACACATGAGAAGAAGACACATGAGAAGAAGACACATGAGAAGAAGACACATGAGAAGAAGACACATGAGAAGAAGACACATGAGAAGAAGACACATGAGAAGAAGACACATGAGAAGAAGACACATGAGAAGAAGACACATGAGAAGAAGACACATGAGAAGAAGACACATGAGAAGAAGACACATGAGAAGAAGACACATGAGAAGAAGACACATGAGAAGAAGACACATGAGAAGAAGACACATGAGAAGAAGACACATGAGAAGAAGACACATGAGAAGAAGACACATGAGAAGAAGACACATGAGAAGAAGACACATGAGAAGAAGACACATGAGAAGAAGACACATGAGAAGAAGACACATGAGAAGAAGACACATGAGAAGAAGACACATGAGAAGAAGACACATGAGAAGAAGACACATGAGAAGAAGACACATGAGAAGAAGACACATGAGAAGAAGACACATGAGAAGAAGACACATGAGAAGAAGACACATGAGAAGAAGACACATGAGAAGAAGACACATGAGAAGAAGACACATGAGAAGAAGACACATGAGAAGAAGACACATGAGAAGAAGACACATGAGAAGAAGACACATGAGAAGAAGACACATGAGAAGAAGACACATGAGAAGAAGACACATGAGAAGAAGACACATGAGAAGAAGACACATGAGAAGAAGACACATGAGAAGAAGACACATGAGAAGAAGACACATGAGAAGAAGACACATGAGAAGAAGACACATGAGAAGAAGACACATGAGAAGAAGACACATGAGAAGAAGACACATGAGAAGAAGACACATGAGAAGAAGACACATGAGAAGAAGACACATGAGAAGAAGACACATGAGAAGAAGACACATGAGAAGAAGACACATGAGAAGAAGACACATGAGAAGAAGACACATGAGAAGAAGACACATGAGAAGAAGACACATGAGAAGAAGACACATGAGAAGAAGACACATGAGAAGAAGACACATGAGAAGAAGACACATGAGAAGAAGACACATGAGAAGAAGACACATGAGAAGAAGACACATGAGAAGAAGACACATGAGAAGAAGACACATGAGAAGAAGACACATGAGAAGAAGACACATGAGAAGAAGACACATGAGAAGAAGACACATGAGAAGAAGACACATGAGAAGAAGACACATGAGAAGAAGACACATGAGAAGAAGACACATGAGAAGAAGACACATGAGAAGAAGACACATGAGAAGAAGACACATGAGAAGAAGACACATGAGAAGAAGACACATGAGAAGAAGACACATGAGAAGAAGACACATGAGAAGAAGACACATGAGAAGAAGACACATGAGAAGAAGACACATGAGAAGAAGACACATGAGAAGAAGACACATGAGAAGAAGACACATGAGAAGAAGACACATGAGAAGAAGACACATGAGAAGAAGACACATGAGAAGAAGACACATGAGAAGAAGACACATGAGAAGAAGACACATGAGAAGAAGACACATGAGAAGAAGACACATGAGAAGAAGACACATGAGAAGAAGACACATGAGAAGAAGACACATGAGAAGAAGACACATGAGAAGAAGACACATGAGAAGAAGACACATGAGAAGAAGACACATGAGAAGAAGACACATGAGAAGAAGACACATGAGAAGAAGACACATGAGAAGAAGACACATGAGAAGAAGACACATGAGAAGAAGACACATGAGAAGAAGACACATGAGAAGAAGACACATGAGAAGAAGACACATGAGAAGAAGACACATGAGAAGAAGACACATGAGAAGAAGACACATGAGAAGAAGACACATGAGAAGAAGACACATGAGAAGAAGACACATGAGAAGAAGACACATGAGAAGAAGACACATGAGAAGAAGACACATGAGAAGAAGACACATGAGAAGAAGACACATGAGAAGAAGACACATGAGAAGAAGACACATGAGAAGAAGACACATGAGAAGAAGACACATGAGAAGAAGACACATGAGAAGAAGACACATGAGAAGAAGACACATGAGAAGAAGACACATGAGAAGAAGACACATGAGAAGAAGACACATGAGAAGAAGACACATGAGAAGAAGACACATGAGAAGAAGACACATGAGAAGAAGACACATGAGAAGAAGACACATGAGAAGAAGACACATGAGAAGAAGACACATGAGAAGAAGACACATGAGAAGAAGACACATGAGAAGAAGACACATGAGAAGAAGACACATGAGAAGAAGACACATGAGAAGAAGACACATGAGAAGAAGACACATGAGAAGAAGACACATGAGAAGAAGACACATGAGAAGAAGACACATGAGAAGAAGACACATGAGAAGAAGACACATGAGAAGAAGACACATGAGAAGAAGACACATGAGAAGAAGACACATGAGAAGAAGACACATGAGAAGAAGACACATGAGAAGAAGACACATGAGAAGAAGACACATGAGAAGAAGACACATGAGAAGAAGACACATGAGAAGAAGACACATGAGAAGAAGACACATGAGAAGAAGACACATGAGAAGAAGACACATGAGAAGAAGACACATGAGAAGAAGACACATGAGAAGAAGACACATGAGAAGAAGACACATGAGAAGAAGACACATGAGAAGAAGACACATGAGAAGAAGACACATGAGAAGAAGACACATGAGAAGAAGACACATGAGAAGAAGACACATGAGAAGAAGACACATGAGAAGAAGACACATGAGAAGAAGACACATGAGAAGAAGACACATGAGAAGAAGACACATGAGAAGAAGACACATGAGAAGAAGACACATGAGAAGAAGACACATGAGAAGAAGACACATGAGAAGAAGACACATGAGAAGAAGACACATGAGAAGAAGACACATGAGAAGAAGACACATGAGAAGAAGACACATGAGAAGAAGACACATGAGAAGAAGACACATGAGAAGAAGACACATGAGAAGAAGACACATGAGAAGAAGACACATGAGAAGAAGACACATGAGAAGAAGACACATGAGAAGAAGACACATGAGAAGAAGACACATGAGAAGAAGACACATGAGAAGAAGACACATGAGAAGAAGACACATGAGAAGAAGACACATGAGAAGAAGACACATGAGAAGAAGACACATGAGAAGAAGACACATGAGAAGAAGACACATGAGAAGAAGACACATGAGAAGAAGACACATGAGAAGAAGACACATGAGAAGAAGACACATGAGAAGAAGACACATGAGAAGAAGACACATGAGAAGAAGACACATGAGAAGAAGACACATGAGAAGAAGACACATGAGAAGAAGACACATGAGAAGAAGACACATGAGAAGAAGACACATGAGAAGAAGACACATGAGAAGAAGACACATGAGAAGAAGACACATGAGAAGAAGACACATGAGAAGAAGACACATGAGAAGAAGACACATGAGAAGAAGACACATGAGAAGAAGACACATGAGAAGAAGACACATGAGAAGAAGACACATGAGAAGAAGACACATGAGAAGAAGACACATGAGAAGAAGACACATGAGAAGAAGACACATGAGAAGAAGACACATGAGAAGAAGACACATGAGAAGAAGACACATGAGAAGAAGACACATGAGAAGAAGACACATGAGAAGAAGACACATGAGAAGAAGACACATGAGAAGAAGACACATGAGAAGAAGACACATGAGAAGAAGACACATGAGAAGAAGACACATGAGAAGAAGACACATGAGAAGAAGACACATGAGAAGAAGACACATGAGAAGAAGACACATGAGAAGAAGACACATGAGAAGAAGACACATGAGAAGAAGACACATGAGAAGAAGACACATGAGAAGAAGACACATGAGAAGAAGACACATGAGAAGAAGACACATGAGAAGAAGACACATGAGAAGAAGACACATGAGAAGAAGACACATGAGAAGAAGACACATGAGAAGAAGACACATGAGAAGAAGACACATGAGAAGAAGACACATGAGAAGAAGACACATGAGAAGAAGACACATGAGAAGAAGACACATGAGAAGAAGACACATGAGAAGAAGACACATGAGAAGAAGACACATGAGAAGAAGACACATGAGAAGAAGACACATGAGAAGAAGACACATGAGAAGAAGACACATGAGAAGAAGACACATGAGAAGAAGACACATGAGAAGAAGACACATGAGAAGAAGACACATGAGAAGAAGACACATGAGAAGAAGACACATGAGAAGAAGACACATGAGAAGAAGACACATGAGAAGAAGACACATGAGAAGAAGACACATGAGAAGAAGACACATGAGAAGAAGACACATGAGAAGAAGACACATGAGAAGAAGACACATGAGAAGAAGACACATGAGAAGAAGACACATGAGAAGAAGACACATGAGAAGAAGACACATGAGAAGAAGACACATGAGAAGAAGACACATGAGAAGAAGACACATGAGAAGAAGACACATGAGAAGAAGACACATGAGAAGAAGACACATGAGAAGAAGACACATGAGAAGAAGACACATGAGAAGAAGACACATGAGAAGAAGACACATGAGAAGAAGACACATGAGAAGAAGACACATGAGAAGAAGACACATGAGAAGAAGACACATGAGAAGAAGACACATGAGAAGAAGACACATGAGAAGAAGACACATGAGAAGAAGACACATGAGAAGAAGACACATGAGAAGAAGACACATGAGAAGAAGACACATGAGAAGAAGACACATGAGAAGAAGACACATGAGAAGAAGACACATGAGAAGAAGACACATGAGAAGAAGACACATGAGAAGAAGACACATGAGAAGAAGACACATGAGAAGAAGACACATGAGAAGAAGACACATGAGAAGAAGACACATGAGAAGAAGACACATGAGAAGAAGACACATGAGAAGAAGACACATGAGAAGAAGACACATGAGAAGAAGACACATGAGAAGAAGACACATGAGAAGAAGACACATGAGAAGAAGACACATGAGAAGAAGACACATGAGAAGAAGACACATGAGAAGAAGACACATGAGAAGAAGACACATGAGAAGAAGACACATGAGAAGAAGACACATGAGAAGAAGACACATGAGAAGAAGACACATGAGAAGAAGACACATGAGAAGAAGACACATGAGAAGAAGACACATGAGAAGAAGACACATGAGAAGAAGACACATGAGAAGAAGACACATGAGAAGAAGACACATGAGAAGAAGACACATGAGAAGAAGACACATGAGAAGAAGACACATGAGAAGAAGACACATGAGAAGAAGACACATGAGAAGAAGACACATGAGAAGAAGACACATGAGAAGAAGACACATGAGAAGAAGACACATGAGAAGAAGACACATGAGAAGAAGACACATGAGAAGAAGACACATGAGAAGAAGACACATGAGAAGAAGACACATGAGAAGAAGACACATGAGAAGAAGACACATGAGAAGAAGACACATGAGAAGAAGACACATGAGAAGAAGACACATGAGAAGAAGACACATGAGAAGAAGACACATGAGAAGAAGACACATGAGAAGAAGACACATGAGAAGAAGACACATGAGAAGAAGACACATGAGAAGAAGACACATGAGAAGAAGACACATGAGAAGAAGACACATGAGAAGAAGACACATGAGAAGAAGACACATGAGAAGAAGACACATGAGAAGAAGACACATGAGAAGAAGACACATGAGAAGAAGACACATGAGAAGAAGACACATGAGAAGAAGACACATGAGAAGAAGACACATGAGAAGAAGACACATGAGAAGAAGACACATGAGAAGAAGACACATGAGAAGAAGACACATGAGAAGAAGACACATGAGAAGAAGACACATGAGAAGAAGACACATGAGAAGAAGACACATGAGAAGAAGACACATGAGAAGAAGACACATGAGAAGAAGACACATGAGAAGAAGACACATGAGAAGAAGACACATGAGAAGAAGACACATGAGAAGAAGACACATGAGAAGAAGACACATGAGAAGAAGACACATGAGAAGAAGACACATGAGAAGAAGACACATGAGAAGAAGACACATGAGAAGAAGACACATGAGAAGAAGACACATGAGAAGAAGACACATGAGAAGAAGACACATGAGAAGAAGACACATGAGAAGAAGACACATGAGAAGAAGACACATGAGAAGAAGACACATGAGAAGAAGACACATGAGAAGAAGACACATGAGAAGAAGACACATGAGAAGAAGACACATGAGAAGAAGACACATGAGAAGAAGACACATGAGAAGAAGACACATGAGAAGAAGACACATGAGAAGAAGACACATGAGAAGAAGACACATGAGAAGAAGACACATGAGAAGAAGACACATGAGAAGAAGACACATGAGAAGAAGACACATGAGAAGAAGACACATGAGAAGAAGACACATGAGAAGAAGACACATGAGAAGAAGACACATGAGAAGAAGACACATGAGAAGAAGACACATGAGAAGAAGACACATGAGAAGAAGACACATGAGAAGAAGACACATGAGAAGAAGACACATGAGAAGAAGACACATGAGAAGAAGACACATGAGAAGAAGACACATGAGAAGAAGACACATGAGAAGAAGACACATGAGAAGAAGACACATGAGAAGAAGACACATGAGAAGAAGACACATGAGAAGAAGACACATGAGAAGAAGACACATGAGAAGAAGACACATGAGAAGAAGACACATGAGAAGAAGACACATGAGAAGAAGACACATGAGAAGAAGACACATGAGAAGAAGACACATGAGAAGAAGACACATGAGAAGAAGACACATGAGAAGAAGACACATGAGAAGAAGACACATGAGAAGAAGACACATGAGAAGAAGACACATGAGAAGAAGACACATGAGAAGAAGACACATGAGAAGAAGACACATGAGAAGAAGACACATGAGAAGAAGACACATGAGAAGAAGACACATGAGAAGAAGACACATGAGAAGAAGACACATGAGAAGAAGACACATGAGAAGAAGACACATGAGAAGAAGACACATGAGAAGAAGACACATGAGAAGAAGACACATGAGAAGAAGACACATGAGAAGAAGACACATGAGAAGAAGACACATGAGAAGAAGACACATGAGAAGAAGACACATGAGAAGAAGACACATGAGAAGAAGACACATGAGAAGAAGACACATGAGAAGAAGACACATGAGAAGAAGACACATGAGAAGAAGACACATGAGAAGAAGACACATGAGAAGAAGACACATGAGAAGAAGACACATGAGAAGAAGACACATGAGAAGAAGACACATGAGAAGAAGACACATGAGAAGAAGACACATGAGAAGAAGACACATGAGAAGAAGACACATGAGAAGAAGACACATGAGAAGAAGACACATGAGAAGAAGACACATGAGAAGAAGACACATGAGAAGAAGACACATGAGAAGAAGACACATGAGAAGAAGACACATGAGAAGAAGACACATGAGAAGAAGACACATGAGAAGAAGACACATGAGAAGAAGACACATGAGAAGAAGACACATGAGAAGAAGACACATGAGAAGAAGACACATGAGAAGAAGACACATGAGAAGAAGACACATGAGAAGAAGACACATGAGAAGAAGACACATGAGAAGAAGACACATGAGAAGAAGACACATGAGAAGAAGACACATGAGAAGAAGACACATGAGAAGAAGACACATGAGAAGAAGACACATGAGAAGAAGACACATGAGAAGAAGACACATGAGAAGAAGACACATGAGAAGAAGACACATGAGAAGAAGACACATGAGAAGAAGACACATGAGAAGAAGACACATGAGAAGAAGACACATGAGAAGAAGACACATGAGAAGAAGACACATGAGAAGAAGACACATGAGAAGAAGACACATGAGAAGAAGACACATGAGAAGAAGACACATGAGAAGAAGACACATGAGAAGAAGACACATGAGAAGAAGACACATGAGAAGAAGACACATGAGAAGAAGACACATGAGAAGAAGACACATGAGAAGAAGACACATGAGAAGAAGACACATGAGAAGAAGACACATGAGAAGAAGACACATGAGAAGAAGACACATGAGAAGAAGACACATGAGAAGAAGACACATGAGAAGAAGACACATGAGAAGAAGACACATGAGAAGAAGACACATGAGAAGAAGACACATGAGAAGAAGACACATGAGAAGAAGACACATGAGAAGAAGACACATGAGAAGAAGACACATGAGAAGAAGACACATGAGAAGAAGACACATGAGAAGAAGACACATGAGAAGAAGACACATGAGAAGAAGACACATGAGAAGAAGACACATGAGAAGAAGACACATGAGAAGAAGACACATGAGAAGAAGACACATGAGAAGAAGACACATGAGAAGAAGACACATGAGAAGAAGACACATGAGAAGAAGACACATGAGAAGAAGACACATGAGAAGAAGACACATGAGAAGAAGACACATGAGAAGAAGACACATGAGAAGAAGACACATGAGAAGAAGACACATGAGAAGAAGACACATGAGAAGAAGACACATGAGAAGAAGACACATGAGAAGAAGACACATGAGAAGAAGACACATGAGAAGAAGACACATGAGAAGAAGACACATGAGAAGAAGACACATGAGAAGAAGACACATGAGAAGAAGACACATGAGAAGAAGACACATGAGAAGAAGACACATGAGAAGAAGACACATGAGAAGAAGACACATGAGAAGAAGACACATGAGAAGAAGACACATGAGAAGAAGACACATGAGAAGAAGACACATGAGAAGAAGACACATGAGAAGAAGACACATGAGAAGAAGACACATGAGAAGAAGACACATGAGAAGAAGACACATGAGAAGAAGACACATGAGAAGAAGACACATGAGAAGAAGACACATGAGAAGAAGACACATGAGAAGAAGACACATGAGAAGAAGACACATGAGAAGAAGACACATGAGAAGAAGACACATGAGAAGAAGACACATGAGAAGAAGACACATGAGAAGAAGACACATGAGAAGAAGACACATGAGAAGAAGACACATGAGAAGAAGACACATGAGAAGAAGACACATGAGAAGAAGACACATGAGAAGAAGACACATGAGAAGAAGACACATGAGAAGAAGACACATGAGAAGAAGACACATGAGAAGAAGACACATGAGAAGAAGACACATGAGAAGAAGACACATGAGAAGAAGACACATGAGAAGAAGACACATGAGAAGAAGACACATGAGAAGAAGACACATGAGAAGAAGACACATGAGAAGAAGACACATGAGAAGAAGACACATGAGAAGAAGACACATGAGAAGAAGACACATGAGAAGAAGACACATGAGAAGAAGACACATGAGAAGAAGACACATGAGAAGAAGACACATGAGAAGAAGACACATGAGAAGAAGACACATGAGAAGAAGACACATGAGAAGAAGACACATGAGAAGAAGACACATGAGAAGAAGACACATGAGAAGAAGACACATGAGAAGAAGACACATGAGAAGAAGACACATGAGAAGAAGACACATGAGAAGAAGACACATGAGAAGAAGACACATGAGAAGAAGACACATGAGAAGAAGACACATGAGAAGAAGACACATGAGAAGAAGACACATGAGAAGAAGACACATGAGAAGAAGACACATGAGAAGAAGACACATGAGAAGAAGACACATGAGAAGAAGACACATGAGAAGAAGACACATGAGAAGAAGACACATGAGAAGAAGACACATGAGAAGAAGACACATGAGAAGAAGACACATGAGAAGAAGACACATGAGAAGAAGACACATGAGAAGAAGACACATGAGAAGAAGACACATGAGAAGAAGACACATGAGAAGAAGACACATGAGAAGAAGACACATGAGAAGAAGACACATGAGAAGAAGACACATGAGAAGAAGACACATGAGAAGAAGACACATGAGAAGAAGACACATGAGAAGAAGACACATGAGAAGAAGACACATGAGAAGAAGACACATGAGAAGAAGACACATGAGAAGAAGACACATGAGAAGAAGACACATGAGAAGAAGACACATGAGAAGAAGACACATGAGAAGAAGACACATGAGAAGAAGACACATGAGAAGAAGACACATGAGAAGAAGACACATGAGAAGAAGACACATGAGAAGAAGACACATGAGAAGAAGACACATGAGAAGAAGACACATGAGAAGAAGACACATGAGAAGAAGACACATGAGAAGAAGACACATGAGAAGAAGACACATGAGAAGAAGACACATGAGAAGAAGACACATGAGAAGAAGACACATGAGAAGAAGACACATGAGAAGAAGACACATGAGAAGAAGACACATGAGAAGAAGACACATGAGAAGAAGACACATGAGAAGAAGACACATGAGAAGAAGACACATGAGAAGAAGACACATGAGAAGAAGACACATGAGAAGAAGACACATGAGAAGAAGACACATGAGAAGAAGACACATGAGAAGAAGACACATGAGAAGAAGACACATGAGAAGAAGACACATGAGAAGAAGACACATGAGAAGAAGACACATGAGAAGAAGACACATGAGAAGAAGACACATGAGAAGAAGACACATGAGAAGAAGACACATGAGAAGAAGACACATGAGAAGAAGACACATGAGAAGAAGACACATGAGAAGAAGACACATGAGAAGAAGACACATGAGAAGAAGACACATGAGAAGAAGACACATGAGAAGAAGACACATGAGAAGAAGACACATGAGAAGAAGACACATGAGAAGAAGACACATGAGAAGAAGACACATGAGAAGAAGACACATGAGAAGAAGACACATGAGAAGAAGACACATGAGAAGAAGACACATGAGAAGAAGACACATGAGAAGAAGACACATGAGAAGAAGACACATGAGAAGAAGACACATGAGAAGAAGACACATGAGAAGAAGACACATGAGAAGAAGACACATGAGAAGAAGACACATGAGAAGAAGACACATGAGAAGAAGACACATGAGAAGAAGACACATGAGAAGAAGACACATGAGAAGAAGACACATGAGAAGAAGACACATGAGAAGAAGACACATGAGAAGAAGACACATGAGAAGAAGACACATGAGAAGAAGACACATGAGAAGAAGACACATGAGAAGAAGACACATGAGAAGAAGACACATGAGAAGAAGACACATGAGAAGAAGACACATGAGAAGAAGACACATGAGAAGAAGACACATGAGAAGAAGACACATGAGAAGAAGACACATGAGAAGAAGACACATGAGAAGAAGACACATGAGAAGAAGACACATGAGAAGAAGACACATGAGAAGAAGACACATGAGAAGAAGACACATGAGAAGAAGACACATGAGAAGAAGACACATGAGAAGAAGACACATGAGAAGAAGACACATGAGAAGAAGACACATGAGAAGAAGACACATGAGAAGAAGACACATGAGAAGAAGACACATGAGAAGAAGACACATGAGAAGAAGACACATGAGAAGAAGACACATGAGAAGAAGACACATGAGAAGAAGACACATGAGAAGAAGACACATGAGAAGAAGACACATGAGAAGAAGACACATGAGAAGAAGACACATGAGAAGAAGACACATGAGAAGAAGACACATGAGAAGAAGACACATGAGAAGAAGACACATGAGAAGAAGACACATGAGAAGAAGACACATGAGAAGAAGACACATGAGAAGAAGACACATGAGAAGAAGACACATGAGAAGAAGACACATGAGAAGAAGACACATGAGAAGAAGACACATGAGAAGAAGACACATGAGAAGAAGACACATGAGAAGAAGACACATGAGAAGAAGACACATGAGAAGAAGACACATGAGAAGAAGACACATGAGAAGAAGACACATGAGAAGAAGACACATGAGAAGAAGACACATGAGAAGAAGACACATGAGAAGAAGACACATGAGAAGAAGACACATGAGAAGAAGACACATGAGAAGAAGACACATGAGAAGAAGACACATGAGAAGAAGACACATGAGAAGAAGACACATGAGAAGAAGACACATGAGAAGAAGACACATGAGAAGAAGACACATGAGAAGAAGACACATGAGAAGAAGACACATGAGAAGAAGACACATGAGAAGAAGACACATGAGAAGAAGACACATGAGAAGAAGACACATGAGAAGAAGACACATGAGAAGAAGACACATGAGAAGAAGACACATGAGAAGAAGACACATGAGAAGAAGACACATGAGAAGAAGACACATGAGAAGAAGACACATGAGAAGAAGACACATGAGAAGAAGACACATGAGAAGAAGACACATGAGAAGAAGACACATGAGAAGAAGACACATGAGAAGAAGACACATGAGAAGAAGACACATGAGAAGAAGACACATGAGAAGAAGACACATGAGAAGAAGACACATGAGAAGAAGACACATGAGAAGAAGACACATGAGAAGAAGACACATGAGAAGAAGACACATGAGAAGAAGACACATGAGAAGAAGACACATGAGAAGAAGACACATGAGAAGAAGACACATGAGAAGAAGACACATGAGAAGAAGACACATGAGAAGAAGACACATGAGAAGAAGACACATGAGAAGAAGACACATGAGAAGAAGACACATGAGAAGAAGACACATGAGAAGAAGACACATGAGAAGAAGACACATGAGAAGAAGACACATGAGAAGAAGACACATGAGAAGAAGACACATGAGAAGAAGACACATGAGAAGAAGACACATGAGAAGAAGACACATGAGAAGAAGACACATGAGAAGAAGACACATGAGAAGAAGACACATGAGAAGAAGACACATGAGAAGAAGACACATGAGAAGAAGACACATGAGAAGAAGACACATGAGAAGAAGACACATGAGAAGAAGACACATGAGAAGAAGACACATGAGAAGAAGACACATGAGAAGAAGACACATGAGAAGAAGACACATGAGAAGAAGACACATGAGAAGAAGACACATGAGAAGAAGACACATGAGAAGAAGACACATGAGAAGAAGACACATGAGAAGAAGACACATGAGAAGAAGACACATGAGAAGAAGACACATGAGAAGAAGACACATGAGAAGAAGACACATGAGAAGAAGACACATGAGAAGAAGACACATGAGAAGAAGACACATGAGAAGAAGACACATGAGAAGAAGACACATGAGAAGAAGACACATGAGAAGAAGACACATGAGAAGAAGACACATGAGAAGAAGACACATGAGAAGAAGACACATGAGAAGAAGACACATGAGAAGAAGACACATGAGAAGAAGACACATGAGAAGAAGACACATGAGAAGAAGACACATGAGAAGAAGACACATGAGAAGAAGACACATGAGAAGAAGACACATGAGAAGAAGACACATGAGAAGAAGACACATGAGAAGAAGACACATGAGAAGAAGACACATGAGAAGAAGACACATGAGAAGAAGACACATGAGAAGAAGACACATGAGAAGAAGACACATGAGAAGAAGACACATGAGAAGAAGACACATGAGAAGAAGACACATGAGAAGAAGACACATGAGAAGAAGACACATGAGAAGAAGACACATGAGAAGAAGACACATGAGAAGAAGACACATGAGAAGAAGACACATGAGAAGAAGACACATGAGAAGAAGACATGAGAAGAAGACACAATGAGAAGAAGACACATGAGAAGAAGACACGATGAGAAGAAGGACCACATGAGAAGAATACACATGAGAAGAAGACCATGAGAAGAAGACACATGAGAAGAAGGACCACATGAGAAGAAGACACATGAGAAGAAGACCACATTGAGAAGAAGACACATGGAAGAAGACACATGAGAAGAAGGAACACATGAGAAGAAGACACCATGAGAAGAAGACACATGAGAAGAAGACACATGAGAAGGAAGACCACATGAGAAGAAGACACCTGAGAAGAAGACACATGAGAAGACATGGAAAGACACATGAGAAGAAGGACACATGAGAAGAAGACACATGAGAAGAAGGACCATGAGTAAATGAAAGACACATGAGAAAAGAAGACAACATGAGAAGAAGACACATGAGAAGGACCAAAGACACATGAGAAGACGACACATGAGAAGAAGACACATGAGAAGAAGACACATGAGAAGAAGACACATGAGAAGAAGACACATGAGAAGAAGACACATGAGAAGAAGACACATGAGAAGAAAGAACATGAGAAGAAGACACATGAGAAGAAGACACATGAGAAGAAGACACATGAGAAGGAAGACACATGAGAAGAAGACACATGAGAAGAAGACACATGAGAAGAAGACACATGAGAAGAAGACACATGAGAAGAAGACACATGAGAAGAAGACACATGAGAAGAAGACACATGAGAAGAAGACACATGAGAAGAAGACACATGAGAAGAAGACACATGAGAAGAAGACACATGAGAAGAAGACACATGAGAAGAAGACACATGAGAAGAAGACACATGAGAAGAAGACACATGAGAAGAAGACACATGAGAAGAAGACACATGAGAAGAAGACACATGAGAAGAAGACACATGAGAAGAAGACACATGAGAAGAAGACACATGAGAAGAAGACACATGAGAAGAAGACACATGAGAAGAAGACACATGAGAAGAAGACACATGAGAAGAAGACACATGAGAAGAAGACACATGAGAAGAAGACACATGAGAAGAAGACACATGAGAAGAAGACACATGAGAAGAAGACACATGAGAAGAAGACACATGAGAAGAAGACACATGAGAAGAAGACACATGAGAAGAAGACACATGAGAAGAAGACACATGAGAAGAAGACACATGAGAAGAAGACACATGAGAAGAAGACACATGAGAAGAAGACACATGAGAAGAAGACACATGAGAAGAAGACACATGAGAAGAAGACACATGAGAAGAAGACACATGAGAAGAAGACACATGAGAAGAAGACACATGAGAAGAAGACACATGAGAAGAAGACACATGAGAAGAAGACACATGAGAAGAAGACACATGAGAAGAAGACACATGAGAAGAAGACACATGAGAAGAAGACACATGAGAAGAAGACACATGAGAAGAAGACACATGAGAAGAAGACACATGAGAAGAAGACACATGAGAAGAAGACACATGAGAAGAAGACACATGAGAAGAAGACACATGAGAAGAAGACACATGAGAAGAAGACACATGAGAAGAAGACACATGAGAAGAAGACACATGAGAAGAAGACACATGAGAAGAAGACACATGAGAAGAAGACACATGAGAAGAAGACACATGAGAAGAAGACACATGAGAAGAAGACACATGAGAAGAAGACACATGAGAAGAAGACACATGAGAAGAAGACACATGAGAAGAAGACACATGAGAAGAAGACACATGAGAAGAAGACACATGAGAAGAAGACACATGAGAAGAAGACACATGAGAAGAAGACACATGAGAAGAAGACACATGAGAAGAAGACACATGAGAAGAAGACACATGAGAAGAAGACACATGAGAAGAAGACACATGAGAAGAAGACACATGAGAAGAAGACACATGAGAAGAAGACACATGAGAAGAAGACACATGAGAAGAAGACACATGAGAAGAAGACACATGAGAAGAAGACACATGAGAAGAAGACACATGAGAAGAAGACACATGAGAAGAAGACACATGAGAAGAAGACACATGAGAAGAAGACACATGAGAAGAAGACACATGAGAAGAAGACACATGAGAAGAAGACACATGAGAAGAAGACACATGAGAAGAAGACACATGAGAAGAAGACACATGAGAAGAAGACACATGAGAAGAAGACACATGAGAAGAAGACACATGAGAAGAAGACACATGAGAAGAAGACACATGAGAAGAAGACACATGAGAAGAAGACACATGAGAAGAAGACACATGAGAAGAAGACACATGAGAAGAAGACACATGAGAAGAAGACACATGAGAAGAAGACACATGAGAAGAAGGAACATGAGAAGAAGACACATGAGAAGAAGACACATGAGAAGAAGACACATGAGAAGAAGACACATGAGAAGAAGACACATGAGAAGAAGACACATGAGAAGAAGACACATGAGAAGAAGACACATGAGAAGAAGAGACAATTGTCTTCGTCTCACCCACCCGCAGCAGAAGACAACGCACATGCAAGAAGAGAGAATGGGGTGCTGAGCATGTGGTTCGAGATTGCACGCGCGCGCACACACACAAGCACACTCGTCCGGGTCACGGGAGGGCGAAACATGAGAAGACGACACATGCAAGATGCACATACCCACAGCCAGCAAAAGTACCATACATGCTCAACACAACACAACACACACTACCTACCTGGCACACGTCCGGGTCACGGAAGGGCGGGTCAAAGGAGTCAACGTGGATCCACTTGGTGGCCGACCACTTCTCTCCTTCGATCACAGGGCAGCCGGAGTGCAGTGAGGCTGTATCAAAGGAGCCATTGGGGTTCATGCTGAAAAAGAGCAGCGCACTGCCCTTGGCTGGCTTCACTGCAGTTTAGGGGATTGAGGGTAGGGAGGCAAAAAAAGGCAACCCAAGTGCAGCGAGGCTGTATTGAAGGAGCCGTTGGGGTTCATTCTGAAGAAGAGGAGCGCACTGCTCAAGATATTGGGTCAGGGATCATTAATGATTTGCAAGGAGAGATGCGCGCAAGGCGTTTGACATGCACAGGGGGATTTGGGTTGGAGTGTAAGAGGATTTCCCCTAGCCTTCATGCCATGCCATGCAAATGCTCTTCCCCTCTTCCCTGCCCATCCCTGATTTGCCACCACAGTGCCATGACATGCCATGACATGGTGCCATCCCTGCAGTGCATGCCGTCACACCACATACACACCAGCACCGCTCTGCACACCATACCACCACCACCACCAACACTCTGCACACCACATTACAGCGCTCTGCAAACCACCAGCACCGCTCTGCATACCTGCAATTCCCTGCTTGCCGCAGTCACTCCAGCTGTCATCCTTCACTGTGGAGTCCTCCTGGTGCGGACAAGATCAGGGGAAGAGAGGAGTGAGGAGGGGGAGTCAAGGAGAGAGGGAGGGGAAAAGGGAGGAGAGATGGAAAGTGGGGAAGGAGAGTAGGGGAAGAGAGGTGAATTCGGAAAGGTTAGTTCGGTATATGGTCTGAACTAATTTGATTCGGTCCGATTAAACATACAGTGTGTGCTGCTTACTGCAAACGGACTTAGCAGCACATTCCATTCCATTTCACACGCTGTGTGCACTGCACTGTGTGCATCACTCACCTCAGACTGTGGGAACACGGTCTCCCCGCTTTTCACCACGTCAGTGAGGTACATGAGCACGGTGGCGTATCAAACAGCAATCACATTGGATTTCACTCCCTTTCACAGCGTTGATCGCTCACCTCAGACTGCGGGAACACAGTCTCTCCACCCTTGACCACGTCAGTGAGGTACATGAGCACAGTGGCGTATCGGGGCCCGCCCGGCTGGGCGGTCTTATCGTCATAATAGTCCCAGTGGGCGCCGTACTTCTGCCCGTACTGGTACTGCAGCACCTGCATCGCCTCCTGGTTGGCTGGATATCATAGGGAGTGGAGTGAGAAAAGGGGAGAACGTTGAAGGAGGTGCTGGGGAACTGGGGAGGGGATGCTGGGAGGAGGAGAAAGAGGCCACAGGAGCACAGCCTTCCCCGGTGCCGCCTTTGGTCGATGGTGAGGGCCTTATCGTCGTAGTAGTCCCAGCGTGCGCCGTACTTCTGCCCGTGCTGGTACTGCAGCACCAGCATCGCCTCCTGGTTGGCTGGCAATGGGTTGTGTGAGAGAAAGGGAGGGTGAAGATTGAAGGTTGGCGGACACAAATGGTTGAAATCGTCTAAAGATTGCGCATGCCCATATCCATCCCCGTCCCCGTGCCCATGCTCATGCCCATGCCCATGCTCATGCCCACACCCATGCTCATGCCCATGCCCATGCTCATGCCCACCCCCATCCCCATCCCCATGCCCATGCCTACGCCTATGCCCATCCCCATGGTATGCATGAAGGAGGGGCATGGCGGAAGGAACGTACCAAGAGGCAGGAAGGTCCAGTCACCAATGCGCTCCTCTATGCGCATGATGACTGGGTCCTGGTGGGGACAGGGCGAGACAGGTGAGGGCACGGGGCGGAGAGCGAGAGTCAGGGGCGTGTAGGGAGGGGCTTGCCTTGCCTAGGGGCAGGAAGGTCCAGTCGCCAATGCGCTCCTCTATGCGCTTGGTGACGGGTCCTGGTGGTGGGGGCGGGGGGGAGACAAGCCGTGCACAGGAGGCACTACGCTTGTGTCACGACTGAGAATGCTCTCAAAAGTGACACAGGAAGGTCCCGTTGCCAATGCGCTTGATGACGGGGTCCTGGTGAGGACAGGGCGAGACAGGTGAGGGCACGGGGCGGAGAGTGAGAGTCAGGGCCGTGACGAGCTTGCCTTGCCTTGCCTAGGGGCAGGAAGGTCCAGTCACCAATGCGCTCCTCTATGCGCTTGATGACTGGGTCCTGGTGAGGACAGGGGGGGGGGGGGCAGGTGAGCTGAGCATAAGAGGACATGTGAGAGAAGGGAGAGTTGGGCAGTCAATGAAGATTCTATTGCCTATCACCTTGAAATACCCATCAATTAAACTTCTACTGCTTAGCACCTTGTACTTATCAATGAAGTTTCTAGTGCATATCACCTTGCACTTATCAATGAGGTTTCTATTGCTTATCACCTTGTACTTATCGATGAAGCAGCCATTGCTGGTCCGGATGGTGTCAACCACGCTCTTCCCTCCCTGCCCCACCACTGTCGACCGCTCCATTAGTGGGCGCGACTGCAGAGAGAGACACAGGGTGGAAGGGGAGGGGACAGGGGGCCAAAGGGACGGGACAGGGTGGCCAAACGGAGGGGAGAGGGGGCGAAAAAAGGGGGGACAGGGGTCGCAATAGATCAGCCATTGCTGGTTCGAATGGTGTCGACCACGCTCTTCCCTCCCTGCCCCACCACTGTCGACCGCTCCATTAGCGGGCGCGACTGCATAGGGAGAGACAAGGGGGCAAGGGGAGGGGACAGGGGACAGAATGTGAGGGGAAAGGGGGCATAAAGCGAGGGGAAAGGAGGGACAGAGACAACGGGAGGGGGGCAGAGAAGCAGCAGGTGGCGAGACTGGTTCATGCAATCCCTCACTTCACTACCACCATGCGCCGATTGACAACCGGGAGTTCAAAGTGTTAGAACTCAGAAACGATGGGCGATGAAACCATGCATCCACAGACGGACATCACGAAGGGGTTAAGGGCGGTGTTTCACGGTTTCCAATGGGCGCCTACACAAAGCAAAAAATGGATCTAGGGAAATAGTGGGACTGGAGAGTTGAAAGAAAACGGAAGGAGCAGCTACAAGCACGGAGCGATTCAACGAAGTCCAGATGGGGAGAAAAAGGTGGGGGTCAGACGGTGAAGGAGAGGAAGGGAAGATGGAAAGGAATCAGTGCAGTGGCCCGGGGTGAAAAGAACGATGTAATCACAGAACGAGAGTGGGGGGGAAAGAAGGAAAGGCGGGCCAAGAGGAAGTGGTGTAGGCCATGGTGATCGCATAGCATGTTGACGATATAGTGATCACAGAACGAGGAGCGGGGGGAAAAGAAAGTAAGGTAGGCCAAGAGGAAGTGGTGGGAGGGTGATGTGCTAGCATACCATGTTGACGATGTAATCACACTCCGCAGCAGAGAGGAAATTGGGATAAAGGAAAGCCCTGCGGAGGGAATAATGAATGCGATGAAGGAGGGTCAGAGGAGGGGGTTGATGGAGGGAGAGAGTGGGGAGAGAGAGCAGCGGTATAGGGAGACGGATGGGAAGTGTGGAGGAATTGATAGGGGGTTGAGTGAAAGAGACGTTAGAGGAAGTGCGATGAGACGGAAAACCTTTCACGATTTGTGGTTCGAAGTAAGATAGGTTGTTGAGAGGAGGGAGGGGTCTGGAGGGAATGGGTCTCGAGGAATGGCGAGAAATGCTCAGGACCAACTATTCCCACATGTATCCCCGCAATAATCCCCATTTATCCCCCCATCCAAACCCGCATCCACCACATCCCCCACATCCCCCGCATAGTCTACACCGTTAAATGCCTCTGTGACGCACCTGGGCTTCCATGCGAGCTGCTTGATTCGAGAGGGGTCCGGAATGTAATCCGGCGGGATGTTCAGTCCCGGCGCTGACAAGGTGCTGTAGGGGATAACTCGCGTTACACGGATGGGTTGCAAGGACACGTGACACGTGTTACTAGTACGATTTTAAGGCCACTAGACAAGTGTTCACTTTCCTTTGTGCAAGAGATCTCGTCGCATCTTTTGAAAGCCGCGAAGTCAGCAGGTATGGTCAGGAAATGGCCGACAGAGGCCAAGAGAAAAAATTGTACTACAAGGCATCACGAATGCGATATCCTCTCTGAGAATCACCACGAAGTCAAAAGAGGTGGCCAGAAACCTGAACCAATGTTGTAACCCTAACCGGCGGTAATGATGAACTGCTTACCCTTTTTGCGTTTCATCAGTTGATAACGCCAACGCTGAAGCAGCCGCGAGGAAGAATGGAAGAAGAAATTCGAGAACAAGATGCCTCTTCCGCATTTTGGAATATTACGTATGCGCTGAACCAGAAGGGAATACGTGTGGAAAGATCGACAGACCTCTTTCTCCGCTAGAAACGTAAGAACAGACGAGACGCGCGGCGACTACATGAATTTGTACTAAGTTCTTGAGTCAGGGCTGATTGCGCCTTGGGGTCTAGGAACAAGAAACGGCCGCCATTAGAGTTTTCCTCAAACCGAATGTGTGTGATGGGAATTCAGGTAAGTAGGACGGAGTCCGAGCATGAGTGCTGAGGTTTGGAGGGCATGCTACTCGGTTGAGTGTGTTTTACAACGTGGCAGCGCGGTACACTGTCAACCTCGGTGTGGGAGAGGAACTGGCATTGAGAATGGTGATGCTGATGAATGCAGGGGGGTTTCCAAGGTTTAGGCGAGTACGGTCCACAGAAAACTGTAACTTTCGCGGTTCTTCGCGGTGATTTTGACGACAAACTCCCTCACTTCTCATTTGCTCGATCCAGGTGGTGCGGTCATATTGCCCAATCTCGTTACACCAGAGATTCTTGGGAACTGGCGAAACCTGACCGGATGGTTCGCGAAGCCAGGTTCCTCCCCCTTGGATTCATCGAGAGCGCCGTGACATGACACCAGATTCCTTCAGAACCCTATGGAAACGCTTTGAAGTATAAACGAAACGTACTTAACCACATGAAAGTGCATCAACACGGAATAACCCCCCCACAGCTCCTTTCATCAGCTATCTCCAGGATTTCCACAGCAATTTCTGCTGACTCCATTCAGCCGACATTTTTTCCTCCGGTTTACCATTTCCCATTCCTAAACTGCGAGCATCTACGACCGTTTCCCATTGTGTCTTTTCCCAGCCACCCTTCCCACGAGCTTCTTGAGTGCACTCTTCATACGATTCTCGTAATGGAAGCCACGCGGCTATGGCTGTTTCTCGCCGTTATCTGCGCAGCATGGCCAAGTCTTACCTCGTGTCAGGCGGAGTCTGAGGCGTACCCTGGATGGCAGGCGGACAAGTGAGAATCTGAATTATTTAGCCTTTTAGTTCGGATCAGAGCTGAAATTCGGCTATGTCCATTGACAGCAGCAGCAGTAATACTGGATAATCCTATAGAGTTTCGAGCGCGCGTTTTGGTGACATTTTTATCTAGGGACACACGTATATCCAGCCGTTATGTACTAATTTCCGTCTCCTACTCCGTCATGCTCCGTTACAAATTTTCGTGTCCCGTCGATCAGGTTCGGAGTGGCGAATATCAATCCATCAGTGGCCGACGGGAACCTCACAGAACCGCGCGTCACCGTGCTGTCGTGGAAGCCAAGGTACGAGAGAATTATCTGTTCATGCGAAAGTGGACCTTCTAACGGTTAAAAGCCATGAGCCATGACAGGATCTGTGTCTGTCAGGGGAGAATCTGTGCTGGTTTGGAAAGAGATGTTGCCTGTCAGGCGCTCCCAGACAGTATCACGCAGACGCGAATCTAGATCATCACTGTCTTCTCTGGCGATTTATCCTCCTCAATTCCGTCCCAAAATTCTCAACCCGTAACAGTATTAGTCCTCCCAGCTTCAGGACATCCACATCCCTCCTCCTCGCTCCACCTTTCAAATCCCCCTTCCGCCCCATCCGCCCTCCACATCCCTCCTTCACTCCACCCTCCCCATCCGTCGTTCGCTCGTGTTACCACTACCAGGGATAATATACGGTTCTGTCAGATCGTTTCCCACCACCCTCTGCATCCCCCCACCCGTTCACTTGTGCGACCACCACCAGGACTTATTTACAATGCAATCAAATCTGCTCCCACCACTGTTCTCATCTCCCCATCCGTCCTCCCGTGCCAACACCACCAGGGCCTTCCTCTACCACGATTTCAGAGGATGCTATAATATCAAAACGTTTCCCACCACCCTCCCCCCCACCCGTTCACTTGTGTCACCAGGGCCTTCCTCTAACACAATCTCAGAGGATTCTATTAGTACGATTCCCACCACCCTCCCCATCACGAAAAGACTCCTCAACCCCGTCCCTCACTTCTCCCCATCCATCATTCGCTTGTGCCACCACCACCAGGGCTTTTTTACGATTCTATAAATTTCCTCCCACCACCACCGTCCTCGTCCCCCACCCGTTCATCTGTGCCATTACCACCAGGGCTTTCCTCTATCACAAGTTTCTGACGCCAGAGGAGTGCGACCACATCATCTCCCTGGTGAGAGAGACTGAGAGACATTCGTTGTAGTCATTCATCGCCCTGGTAAGACGCTCGCTGTAGTCACATTTCGGAGACCAGAGGAGTGCGACCACATCATCGCCTTGGTGAGACGCTCTCTATATACTCGCATCATCGCCCTGGTGAGAGGCTCGCTGTAGTCACATCACCGCCTGGTGAGAACGGCTCACTGCTGTTTCCATCCCAAGCCCTGATTCCCCCACCAACAGCCTCGTTTCCTTTCCCATGGTACCCCCCTATGACACCTACTCCCCTGCCCTCCTTCCCTCACCACCACACGCACCCTATTTTCACACCTCCCACCTAGCATGTGCCTCTCGTGTGTCCCCAAACCTCACCGTCAGGCTCGGCCGCGCCTGGAGCGGTCGGAGGTGGTGGCTCGGGAGGGCGAGGGCACGAACGTGGATGACGTGCGCACGAGCTTCGGCACTTTCCTCGACTACCAGCAGGTGGGTGAAGGAGGGGGAGAGGGGAGGATGCGGGAAGGACGAGGGGAGGGGGAGGGGGGTGGGGGAGGGGGGTGGAAGGGAGGGGTTGGGCGTGGGCATGTCCTCGTTAGCTGCTGCTCCTATCCATGAGTCATGAGCTTCGGTACGTGTCTAGACTTCCAGCAGGTGCGGGGGCGCTGACACTGACCTCGGTTGGACAGGGCTGGGCTGGGCTGTACTGGGCTGGGCTGGGATGACGTTACTGAGCTATTAGCTGCTCTTCTGTATAAGTGCTGAGCCCTGGAGCCTCGTTGTTCTCTCTTAATCTTCATTCCCATCGTCCCTTCCCTCTACTCCTACTCCCGTTTCATATCAACCCCTGAATGACTGCATGGATGCATGGGTGGTGCATGGATGCATGGATGGTGCATGGGTGCATGGCTGCACACACCAGGATGACGTCATCAAGCGCATTGAGCAGCGCATAGCTGCATGGACCTTCCTCCCTGTTGGTGAGTGGTCTTTGAGGCGCCTCAAAAGTCGTCTCCCTGTTGGTGAGTGACATTGTTTTACCAACTTCACAGCAGAGGGGAAGCGCCTTGGTGCATGTAACTTCACAGGGAATCTATCCCCAAGTGCACTTCCCCTCTGTCCAGTCCCTGTCCGTCTTCCTGTATCAGGTTTCATTATTCGGCCAAGGGAAAGCAGTCTGGTGAGAAGGGATTAGGGATGAGCATATAGCCGAACACCCGTTCGGTTCGTCTCGAACATGTTCGAGACGAACCGAACGGGATTTTTTTTTTTGCCCAAAAATGTTCGACACGAACATGTTCGATGTTCGTGCGAAGATGTTCGGTGTTCGCCCACGTCGATATGCCGAGCCGCGTCGAACAGACGAACACCTAAGTGTTCGTCGACGAATTGGCCGCGACCTAATTTAGGGTCGCAGACAATTCATTTCAACTCGTTTTTTTTAGCTCTGCGACCCTGTCGCAGTCGCTGCCACCAGCACGCCCTCTACCACTCTGCCACATCCTCGCCTCACCTACTCTACTACTAGCCTAGAACGGAAGATATGCCGCTTAGGTTAGTCGAGTTGGGAACGACACTTACTAAGAAAACGTAGCCAGCAACTACTCCGCGCGCTCAAGTTGAAGGGCACCGATTAGGGTTTCCACCGTGGAAGGATTTCCACTAAACTGGAAACTCATAGTCAGAGTTGCATTGGCAGTGTTGTAATCTAGTGTTTTGTAATGCTCAGCCCTCGGAGGCGAACACGAACATGTTCCTGGCGAACATGTTCGTGTTCGCCAAAGTGTTCGAAATGTTCGCCTTCACAGGCGAACTTCGAACACCCCTTTGGGCGAAAAGTGTTCGGCAAACCGAACAGTGTTCGGTTCGCCGAACGGCCATGTTCGAGCCAAGGCGAACGCAAACATGTTCGTGTTGGCCTCGTGCTCATCCCTAGAAGGGATGGGATGGAACGGACAGTGGTGTTGTAGCTGTGGCATCAGAAATTATTCTTCAAGAAGGATGTGGTGCAGTGCGGTGCAGAGGCGCGCAGTGCAGAAGTGTGGAGACGGAGCCTCATATGGCACACGTCTGCTCTTTCTTCCGCACCTCCTGTGCAGCGAACCAGGAGGCAGTGCAGGTGCCTCAATACCACGAGGAACAGAAATAAGAAGCACGACACGGCTCCCTTGAGAAGAAGCAGTGCAGTGAAGCACAGTGAGGCGCAGAGGTGTGACAAGGAAATCTCAGATTGTAGTTCTGTTCTTTCCCTTTTCTATGGTGCAGAGAACCAGGAGGCGATGCAGGTGCTGCGGTACCAGGAGGGGCAGAAGTACGAAGCACACCACGATTTTTTCGAGAAGGAGGGGCAGCAAGGCGGCCACCGATACGCCACTGTGCTCATGTACCTCACAGAGGGCTTGATGGGAGGCGAGACAGTGTTCCCCGACGCTAAGGTACGTGCAGGAGGGGTTTGTCGTTCCATAAAGCACTAGTTTTCTTTCTGTCGGCAGCAGGGACAGGGGCAGCAGGGCGGCCACTGCTACGCCACGGTGCTCATGTACCTCACAGAGGGCTTGGTGGGAGGCGAGACAGTGTTCCCCGATGCTAAGGTACGTGCAGTGAAGGAGGCTTGGGAGAGGAGGCGTGTGTGCATTAGCGAGAGTGAGTGAAAGGGTATCCGCAATGCTGTGCAAGATACAGGGAACAAGGGAAGGGCTCTGATGACTGCTGAGTCGATTTGACTTTGTCCTGATTCGTCTGTATCTACACCACACCAGGACCCTGTGGAGAAGGATGACACGTGGTCGGAGTGCGGCAAGCAGGGCATGACTCCGGTTCTCTGTATTTGAAAATGTCCTGATTCCCTGTATCTACACCACACCAGGATACTGTGGAGAAGGATGACACCTGGTCGGAGTGCGGCAAGCAGGGAGTGGCAGCCAAGCCAATCAGAGGCGACGCGCTCCTCTTCTTCTCCCTCACCCCATCCGCCGAACTCGACCTCAAATCTCTTCACGCGGGCTGCCCGGTGATTTCCGGCGAAAAATGGTCGGCCACAAAGTGGATCCACGTGGGTGCGTTCTACACCCCCTCTGGAGCCCCGGCTGTAGCGCCCCCTTCGGATGGGTCTTGTGAGGACAAAGCGCAGCACTGTGTGTACTGGAAGACCCAGGGCGAGTGTGACAAGAACCAGGAGTACATGCATGCTAATTGTCCCAAGTCGTGTGGTGTATGCTCATCATGAGGTTAGATGCGGCGTGACCGTATTATGTGTGAATGCCAAATAGGTGTGCATTCTACACCCCCTCTGACGCTCCGGCCGTGGCAGCCCCTTCGGATGGGTCACGTGAGGACAAAGAGCAGCACTGTGTGGATTGGAAGGCTCATGGAGAGTGTGACAAGAACCAGGAGTACAAGCATGCTAACTGTCCCGAGTCGTGCAGTGTATGCTCGTCGTGAGGTCAGGCGAGGACCACAATGGCTGCCTTTTTACGTAGTGCTTGAATTCTGTTGCATGCTTGTTCAATAGGCAGTGCCGAGTGTAATACTGTCTGTAACGTCTTTACAGAAACCAATGCCTTACCTTTGAAAGAGTTCTGAATTGTTTTTCAGGTGTCAACAGTTGTTTGATCACGTAGCCACTGCGCTTTGTGTAACTAAGTAGTGCAGAGCTACCGTATTTGTAACCGAGTGGGCATTTTCTAACGAAACGGGGCAAACCTGTCGTGCTGTATCTGTTGCGCTCTTGCTTCTGGGTCAACCAGCTCGGGCGCAGTCATTATTTTGACTGCAATGTCTCGTCTCGTGTCGCACGCACCCAAACGACCAGCTGGCGTGTCGACTCGATCGAGCCGCGTCGGCCCCACTGCTCCAGCCAGCTTGCATTCAGGCTTGTACAGTACAGTGTACATGCGTGATGGGGCTTCGTGGACAGCGGAGGACCAATTAGGGCAACATTTTAAAAACTTGTGGTGTACGGAGCCTCGGGCAGCACTGCACTCGGTGCGGCAGTACAGTACAGACGCCTTGTTTCTGTAACAGCACCCTTTTCTGCCCCCCTTTTAGGGCGGGTCCGAAGTGAAGTCGACATCCGTCGACATCCGATGTCGGTAAATCCTGACGGTTGGAACTCTCGATCCGAGGGTTGAAATTTACCGACATCCATCGACATCCATAAGACGCTTGAATGAGCACTGCTCACTCTGCCAGAATTTTGATTGCATGGCGGGAAAGCTTCTTCAAGAAACACTCTGACCCTCATCGCGCCCATTGCAGCAACGCATTAGCTCGCCAGGCGTTTCACTGGCACACCCACATTGCTCAACTCCTGGAGCACAGGGAGGTAGTAGGGGTCCATCACGATTTTCGAGCCGTCTAAAAAATCAGGGAGGTAGTAGTAGGGGTTCCATAACGCGCGACGAGCCATCGCGGAATTCCGCGACACGCACGTCTGGAAAAACCCTCTCAAGGCCTCCTCCTTCCGCGTTTTGAGACGTCTGGAAACTCGGCTGTGCCGCCTTGAGGTCCAACTTCTGAGGCGTCATTAGAGCTCGAATAGCTGCTATGGGTTGCTTCTGATAAGCTCGCACGCGGTGGATTAGCAGTGGCCCGTGACACGTTTGCTATAAGCTTGGATTAGCAGAGCCACTGAATTTTCCGACTTATCATCTCAGCTGATCCACGGTTCGTGAAGAGCAGGGGCAGTGAGATTTTAACAGGCTGGTTTTTAGACAGCTCCAAAATAAGAGACAAGGTTTAGCCTTTATTACTTCAAGAGAAAACTTACCAGCTGGAGTTGTGAAATTTCATGTGAATTACATCACCCGCAATACTGTCTCGTCCGCACGTGAGATAACAGCACCAGCAGCACCACCCGCAGCAGCGTTATCAGCAGCTGCACCAGAACTACAAGCAGCAGCACCATTAGGGGCAGCAGCAGCAGCAGCAGTGGCAGCAATGGCGGAGGGAGGGTTGGGGCCGTCACCCCGCTGTCGCCTTGACACGATTTCAGAGGAACCAGGCGAGAATGACGAGGATTCGCTATTGGCTCTACTCAACTCTCCGCCAGATTTTCAGCCATGTGATCAGCGAAATGATGAGCAAAGTGATGGGCAAAATGATTTTCAGCCAAGTGACGCGTTGAAAAGCTGTGAGCGAACTGGAAAAGGGGGCGTGCTATTAGGGAGTACCCGGTTACCACCTGACCTTGAACAGGACGCGCCTGATTGGTGGGCTTGCACACCTAAAACACCTGAGAAACGACAAGCAGAGCCAACCAGACGGAATGCTCGCTGTCTGAAGTTCCTGTGGGAGGCAGATAGCATTGCAGGCAGAGGCACAGGCATGGGTGATTTACCCTCGGAATTGTGCAAGGATGGTAGCAGTGGAAGTACAGGTACCAGTGTTTTACCCACGAAATTGGGTGTGGAGGGAAGCAATGGAGTTTCAGGCATGGGTGGTTTACCCTCAGATTTGTTTGTGGAAGGTAGCATGGGAGTTAGTGAGGGAGGTACTGCGAAAGGAGGAGAGGGATTGGGGAAGGGGGAGTTGGGAGGGGGAGAGGTGGAGGTTGGAGAATCGAGGGAGCGAGGGAGTGAGAGTGGGAAGAAGAGGGAGAGGAGGGAAGGGAGCGCATGGGGAAAAGGTGAGAGGTATATGAGTGGGGGGAAGGAGAGAGGGGATGGAAAGGAGGAAGGAAGAAATGGAGGTAGAGAAGGGGGCGCATGGGGGAAAGGTGGGAGGTTTATGAGTGGGATTTGCCTTCCTGTTTGCATCTCTGGGGGATTTGGTGGTGGGGGGGAGTTGGTGGAGGAAGAAGGGGATGGGATTGTTGTGGGGGATGGTCTAAATGAGGGTGATGGGATGAAGAAAAGAGAGGAGTAGGGTGAGGAGGGGAGTGAAGTGGAAAATGGTGAGGAGGGTGAGGAGGGTGAGGAGGGGAGTGAAGGGGAGAATGGTGAGGAGGGTGAGGGGGGGAGTGAGGGGAAGAATGTGGAGGAGAGTGAGGAGGAGGAGAGTGAAGGGGAGAGTGAGGAGGAGGAGGAGGAGGAGGGGGAGGAGGAGGAGGAGGAGGAGGAGGAGGAGGAGGAGGAGGAGGAGGAGGAGGAGGAGGAGGAGGAGGAGTCAGTTGAGTGTGAGTCGTTCAAAATGGACGTGAGGTATGAGAAAGGGAGAGGTAGGGAGGGGACTGTGGTGGTGGAGAAAGGAGGAGAGATTGAAGAGGGGTTGCTACCACAAGGGGGTGGAGAGATGCAGCTGGGCAATGGGGTGACTTTTGAGTCGACTCAAAAGTCGCCGGGGAAAGGAGGAGATGTGGAAGAGGGGTTGGTACTACAAGGGGGTGGAGAGAAGCAGCTGGGCAATGGGTCATGGCAGCAGGGGGATGGGGGAAAGAAGCAGGTCTCTGGGTCAGATGTTGATGTGCTGCTGGAGTTAGCAGATGAGGTTGAGCACGGTGAAAGAGACGTTGGAGAGGGGTTGCTACAGGCGGATGAAGGGAAGCAGGGCAATGGGTTAGCATGGCATGCAGAGGGGTTGCAGCAATGCAGTGATGGTCTTAAGATGGCTGACGGGTCGTGTGAGACTGGTGAGATGAAAGGGGATGACGGGTTGTGCAAGGCTGATGCTGCTGCTGGGTGTAAGGTGGGTGATGGGCCGTGTGAGGCTGATGGGTTAAAGGGGTGCGGAATTGATGCTGGGTGTAAGGTGGGTAACGAATGGAGTGAGACTGGCGGCTTGCAGACAGGTGACGGGTCTTGTGCGGCGGAGGAAGGGTGTAAGACGGGAGAAGAGCGGAGGGAGAAGGGCCGGGGGTGGATGAGGTGGAAGATTCTGGCTGCCGTGGGTGCTGCTGCTGTGCTTATAGGCGGGGCTGCTGTGATTATGGCGAAGGGAAGGGGCTGGAAGGGGGGAGGGAGGGAAAGGTGTAGGGATAGGAGGGAGTGGGGACAGAAGCAGGAGGAGGCACGGAGAGAGGCGGATGGGGTGGGTCTAGAAAGGGATGAAAGGCACGAAGGGGGAGAGAGGCGGGGAGAAACGGAAGGGTATGGTGTTGAGATTTGCGGTAACAAAATGGGAGAGGAGGCGGAGGAGGGAGAGGAGGGGTGGATGGTACAAGAGGAGGGTGAGGAGGGAGATGATGTTGAGGAGGGAGATGCTGTTGAGGAGGGACGGGTGGTGCAAGAGGAGGGGAGGAAGAAGGTGGGAGTGTATGAAGAGGAGGAAGAGGAGGAAGGAAATGATGGGTTAGTGGGGGAGCAGCAGCAGAGAGAGGAGGAGGGGTGGGTGGGAGAGCAGCAGCTGTGGCAGAGGGAGCAACAAAAAATAGAGAGAGAGTGAGAGAGGAGGAAAGGCATGTGGGGTGGTTTGTGCTTCAACAGTGTTAGTTTAGGCCTTGGTAACGAGGAGGAAGAGGAGGACGAGGAGGAAGAGGAGGAAGAGGAAGAAGAGCCTATGTCCATGTGAGTGTTGCTTGCTTGTGTGCATTCATGTTGCCACTGTTCTCTTGAGCGTTCACGCGGGATGGGCAGGTGCAGCAGCAGTAGACGATCAGTGCCTTACCACCCCTTCAATTGCTCTCCATTATTTGTTCTCCTCTGCTTATTTCCCTTGGAGTGTCCTTCTTTACGTGTCCCCCTCCACTTGATTTTCGCCTTCCACTCGTCATGCCGTGTGTGTGTGTCTGTGCGTGTGTGCTGGGTCTTTTTATCATGCCGTTTGTGTGTTGAGTCTTTTTATTGATTCACCAACCAAAGCAGGTTCATTACTCGTTTCGAGGCAGAGGACGAGGAAGAGGCAGCAGCAGCAGCAGCAGCAGCAGTGGAGGAGCGATTCCTGTCCAGCCTGACCCTGCCTCCCTGTGACTATGGCGAATATGACTATTATGGGGGATATGGCTATGATGGGGGATATGGCAATATTGGCGAGTATGGGTATCATGGGGGTCATCGAAGTATTGCTGGTGACTATAGCGAGGGAGGTGAAGAGAGGTGGAGAGGGGGAGATGGGATGGTAGAGGGAGGGGAGGGGGAGGGGGAGGGGGAGGGAAAGGGGGGGGGGGAGGGGGAGGGGGAGGGGGAGGGGGAGGGGGGAGGGGGAGGGGGAGGGGGGAGGGGGAGGGAGAGGGGAGTGGAGGGGAGGAGTGGATGTATGAGAGGGAGTGGGATGTGTTTGTGATGACACTCAGAGAGGGGGACAGAGGAGGGATTGGGGAGACACTGAGTGTGAGGGAGGGAGGAGGGATAGAGGAGGAAGAGGGGAAAGGAGGGGAATGGGCAGGGAGGGGGGGGAGAGGAGAAAGAGGAGGGGGTTTACGGTGTGGAGTGGTGGTGAGGGGTGCGGAGGCTTATGCGTGTGGTGATGGTACAGCGGTCTGTGCAAGGGAGTGGGTGGGGGAAGAGTGGGAAGGGAGGGAGTGGAATGGGGCTGATTGCGGTGCAAAGGAGTGGGATGGTGCTGGGAGGAGTGGGAGGGAGTTGTGTGGGGAGGATGCTGATCTGTCACTAGGGAGCAGCACTGATAATGTAGAGCCCTGCTGTCCCTTATCATATGTAGACTACAGCCCTCTATACTATGCTGATGTTGGCGGTGCTGCTAGTGATGATGGGAAGAATGGGAATGATGGTGCTGCCGGTGGCGCTGGTGGTGGTGATGATGGGGATGATGATGACGACCATGGTGCATGCTATAGTGACCAACGGGAAAGCTCTGACGATCAAGAGGATTCCGCAACGATACTTCACGGTCGCTCGGTGTTTGACGAGATTCTCCGTCGTGGCGCCATGGCAGCAGCATGGCAGTGAGTCAATCTTTCCAGTCTGAATTCATTCAGGCGAGGCGCGGCGCCTTGGATTCTGAAATGCCGCTGTTTGAATGCCCACTGCATTGCATTGCATTGCACCACGCCAGGATCTGGCTGCACCACTCCACACCGATTTTAACCGCACTGAAACCTCAAACGTGACTAATTTGTTGTAGCCACACGCCCTCCTGTGCATGTGCTTTCGTCATCATACCACCCACCCTGTGCTCCCCTCTTTCCCATTCCTCCCTCCCACCCGTTTAGTGGAACCCTTAATTCCTTCCTTCGTTTTCCCCATCTTTCCGTCCCTTCTCTCCTTCCTTTTTTCCCTTCCCTTTCCCTTTCCCCAGAATCCTAGATCACCATCCAAGGGCATCTCACCCTCCCCAGGATCACCATCCAAGGGCGTCTCACCCTCCCTCTGTCCCAGCAGCTCCTGCCTCCAACCACTCTCCCCTTGTGCTCTACCCCAAGCCGTTCCATACTGATGAGGCCGTTGATTATGACGCCAGTATCGAAGCAGCTTGTATTGAGGACAAACTGGCTGCCCTGAATCAAAGGCAGGAGGAACCCTGGAGCCTGGGTCGGGTTTTTTCCCGGGCAGCTGACTGGTGGCTGCGGGCAGGAGAAGAGGAATCACGGGCAGAAGGAGCTGATGTGGAGATGAGGAGGGTGAGGTATGGAGGGAGATTGATAGGGAAGGAAAATGCTTCTAAAGGGTACTGCGAGAGAGGAGTGATAACAAGAGGGAGCAGACGGGGTGTGGAGACGTCTCAAAACTTAATTATAGAGGGAGGTGGTTTGGAGAGTGAGGGTGGGAGTAGGATGGACGGTGGGCCGACATGGATTGGGAAGAAGGGGCTGAACAGGGAGAGCAGGAGGAGCGATGGGAGATTGCGAATGGGCAATGTGGAGGGGAGTGAGGCAGGGAGTGAGGAGTTATGGGTGGGTGCAGAGGAAGGGAGAAGGGTGGAGTGTGTGGGTGAAGGCAGCAGCGACAACAGCAGCTGCGGTAGCAGCAGCAACACTGGCAGCAGCAGTAGCAGGAGAGGCAGCAGCGGGGGCAATGGGGGCAGTGGGGGCAGTGGTATCAGAGGTAGCAGCAGCAGCAGCACCAGCAGCACCAGCAGGGGCAGCAGGGGCAGCAGGTTGCATCTGCCGTCTTTCCTGCGACAAGTCGTACGATTGGTCGGAAAGTAGACGACTTTTGGGCCACTGCCGTCGCAAGAGAAACAGAACCAGCAAGGGGCCTCTTTGGGAATCACTTTTGAGAATTCTCAAAAGAGAAGCAGGAGCAGCAAGGGGCCTCTTTGGGAATCACTTTTGAGAATTCTCAAAAGAGAAGCAGGAGCAGCAAGGGGCCTCTGCTGTCTTGGTTGTTTCTATGCGTCTCAAAACAACTCCATTATCACGTGACAAGTCCTACGTAGATTGGAAAGTAAATGACTGCTGGGCCGCCACATGACACAGGAGCAGCAGCAAGGGGCATTTGCTGCCTTGCCTTGGTAAATTTAAATGGTACAGGGCGGTGACTTAGCTGGTGCGGATTTTGTACCGTACTTGCATTTATCGTTACAGGCTGAGAACGTGCATATACTTCTGCCTTACAAACCGATTTTGTGCTATGTTTTGAACTCGATTTTTTTCTTATTGAATCAATATAGTTAATGCAGATGCACATATACCGTGGTACTTTAGAATCGCCTCAGCCCTGCTCTTGCTCAGACATGGCAGCAATCTAACCAGCAAGAACCCAGCATTAACTAGATGTAGAACTACAGACCAACCAGCACATAACCTCCTTCACTGCTGCTGCTCCTCTTGCCTACTGCAGCAGCACGGACGCCACTTGATGCGAAGCACGGGTTAGAAGAACTTAAACCTTAGACTAGACTGCTTGCCACAGCACAGCAGCAAGCTACCGTACAAGCTAAAAACAAAAGAGCGACACTTGGAGCAACATTGGCGCCACAGCTGCCTCCTTTCACATTGGACTACATACCCGCCCCTCCTCCCACTTGAGGACACACATGCCCGCCCCTCCTCTCACTTGATAACACACATGCCCGCCCCTCCTCTCACTTGAGGACACACATGCCCGCCCCTCCTCTCACTTGGGGACATACATGCCCGCCCCTCTCCCTTTGACCTCCAGCCTGGATGAATGCGGGGGAAGAAAGGGTAGAAAAAATACATGAGGGGCATAAGGAGGTGTGATAGAGAGGGAAAGACAGCGAGAGAGCGGGAGAGATAGGGAGAGATAGGGAGAGAGACCACCACATGCAATCCTCAAACAGCAATCCTCCCACAGCAACCCTCCCACAGCAATCCTCTTCCGTAGCAGCATCAACGGTTCCCATCAATGTCCAGCAGGTACGCTCCTCCCGGCTCCTCCCTCCCTCACACAAAACCACACTCTCACTCACGCCCCACAACTCACGAGGGAGCGAGCTCCCCGAGCCCAAGCGGGAGGTCCTCTCCAGTGGTAGCATCAACGAGATTGCCATCAACGAGATTACCGTCAACGTGATTGCCGCCAATATCCAGCAGGTACGCCACCCCCGGCTCGTCCACCAGCCATCCCACACAACCTAACCCCACGAAACTCACGAGGGGGCGAGCTTGCCAAGGCCTGAAGGCAGATCTTCCCCAGTGGCAGCATCAACGAGATTGCCATCAACGAGATTGCCATCAACGAGATTGCCATCAACGAGATTGCCATCAACGAGATTGCCATCAACGAGATCGCCATCAACGAGATTGCCATCAACGAGATTGCCATCAACGAGATTGCCATCAACGAGATTGCCATCAACGAGATTGCCATCAACGAGATTGCCATCAACGAGATTGCCATCAACGAGATTGCCATCAACGAGATTGCCATCAACGAGATTGCCATCAACGAGATTGCCATCAACGAGATTGCCATCAACGAGATTGCCATCAACGAGATTGCCGTCAACGAGATTGCCATCAACGAGATTGCCATCAACGAGATTGCCATCAACCAGATTGCCATCAACCAGATTGCCATCAACGAGATTGCCATCAACGAGATTGCCATCAACCAGATTGCCATCAACCAGATTGCCATCAACCAGATTGCCATCAACCAGATTGCCATCAACGAGATTGCCGTCAACGAGATTGCCGTCAACCAGATTGCCATCAACCAGATTGCCATCAACGAGATTGCCATCAACGAGATTGCCATCAATATCCAGCAGGTACGCCACCCCGGCTCGTCCACCAGTCCACACCCATGCCCAGAACCCCATTTGTGCCGAGACACCTCCTCCAACACTCACGAGGGAGCCAGCTTGCCCAGCCCAGGAGGGAGGTCCTCCCCTGTGGCAGCGTCAACGAGGTTCCCATCAATGTCCAACAGGTACGCCACGCCACCCCCGGCTCGTCCGCCAGCCATCCCACACTACCTAACCCAATGGAACTCACGAGGGGGCGAGCTTCCCCAGCCCAGGAGGGAGGTCCTCTCCAGTGGCAGCGTCAACGAGGTTGCCGTCAATGTCCAGCAGGTACGCCACTCCTGGCTCGTCCGCCAGCCCGCGCTGCATGAGGATGTCCAGGTCCCGCCGGTGCAGCTCTCTGCCGTTCACCACCACGCGCGTGCGGCCCCCCGATGCTTGTCTTTGCAGCGGTCCTAGCGCGATTTGGTGTATGCCCGCCTGGGGGTTCGAGCATGGGTTTGGGGGGGGGGGGGGGGGAGTGGAGGAAAATGGGGAGAGCACAAGGGAACAGGGGTGGGAACCGGGCAGATGAGGGTGGGCAGGAGGCGAAAGAGAGGGAGAGGCGGCTCGTCCGCCAGCCCGCGCTGCATGAGGATGTCCAGGTCCCGCCGGTGCAGCTCTCTGCCGTTCACCACCACGCGCGTGCGGCCCCCCGATGCTTGTCTTTGCAGCGGTCCTAGCGCGATTTGGTGTATGCCCGCCTGGGGGTTCGAGCATGGGTTTGGGGGGGGGGGGGGAGTGGAGGAGAATGGGGAGAGCACAAGGGAACAGGGGTGGGAACCGGGCAGATGAGGGTGGGCAGGAGGAGAAAGAGAGGGAGAGGGGGCTCGTCCGCCAGCCCACGCTGCATGAGGATGTCCAGGTCCAGCCGGTGCAGCTCTCTGCCGTTCACCACCACTCGCGTGCGGCCCCCCGATGCCTGCCGCTGCAGTGGCCCTAGCGCGAGTTGATGTATGCCCGCCTGGGGGATCGAGCATGGGGGAGAAAAGGGGGAAACAGGGGCGAGAATGGGGGAGAGAATGGGGAAAGAGCGGGGAAACGGGGGTGGGAACCGGGCAGATGAGGGTGGGCAGGAGGAGACAGAGAAAGGAAGTGGGGGTTGGTTCGTCCACCAACCCGCCTCGCTGCATGAGAATGTCCAGGTTCCTCTGGTGCAGCTCTGTGCCGGTCACCACCACCCGCGTGCGCCCTCCCTATGCCTGCCCCTGCAATGGCCCCAGGGCGAGTTGGTGTATGGCCTGCGGGGTCAAGCAGGGTGGGGGGTGGGTGGGGGGGAGAGGGAGGAAGAGAAAGAGTGGGTGCAGCTCCCTGCCCTTCACCACCACTCGCGTGCGCCCGGCCGGAAAATTAGTGATGGAGTGAAAAATGGGGGGCGAATGTGGGCATGCGGCATGCGGCATGCGGGCATAGGGCATGGAGCATGGGGCATGTGGCATAGGAAAATACTCACAGGAATAATGCCGAGGCGGAACCAACGCAACGCACCACTCCCTAGAAGCGACTTCTGAGAGCGACTTACAGGTCGCGTGCAGCATGGCGCATCGTGCATGGGGCGTATAGCTTGGGGCATGCGGCATGGGGAAGGACTTACAGGGATGATGCCGAGCCGAGTGCATATCGATTCTGTTGATCCTGTTGCTTAAGCGATTTCTTCAGGTTTGCTGCTACTCCCAATATGAACTTGGATCCATGCGGCATGCGGAAGGACTTACAGGGATGATGCCAAGGCAGGGCCCACCCACCACTCCCCAGACGCGACCTTTGATTTGACTTGAAAATCACATATGGCATACCGCATGGGACATGGGAAAGGACTTACAGGGATGATGCCGAGGCAGGGCCCACCCACCACTCCCCAGAAGCGACCTTTGAATTGACTTAAAAATCACATATGGCATACCGCATGGGATGCGGAAGGACTTACAGGGATGATGCCGAGGCACGGCCCACCCACCACTCCCCAGAAGCCAGCATCCACGTCATACCTGCAGATATGAGAGAGGAGGGGAGGAGGAGAGAAAGAGGAGAGGGAGAGGAGGAGAGAGAGACTAGATCGATATGAGGCTTCTGAAGTGACTCAACAGCCTTTACACTGTTAGAGTGACACTAACAGGGTGACACACTAATAGAGTGACACACTAACGGGTTGACACAATAATAGAGTGACACACTAACAGGGTGACACGCTTTACACAATTACAACATTTGAATGCGTGCTAACTGAAATCCAGTCAACATACCAATAGGTGCCCGGATTGATGGGCCCAGCTAGCCTCTCAGCTTCTGCCACCTGGCGATCCGGGATTGGCACACTGTTCACCACCACTCTCCTCCGATACTCCTGGCCGTTTCCTACTCTCTCCTCCTCCTCTTCCTCCTCTTCCTCCTCCTCTTCCTCCTCTTCCTCCTCCTCTTCCTCCTCTTCCTCCTCTTCTTCCTCTTCCTCCTCCTCCTCTTCTTCTTCATCTTCTTCCTCCTCCTCTTCCACACCTCTCCTTCCCCCCACCATTCCCCCTCGTCCCCGCCCCATTTGTGCCCCCCGCCCCATCATCCCCATCCCTCCCCTCCCTGGGGGCCCACCTCCCCCTCCGCCTCCGCCCCTCCCCGGCCCCATGTCCCCCCGCGCCATTCCTCCTCTCCCCGATACTCTCGGACTCCCCACACCTCTCCCCGCCATGCCCCCTGCACTCATAGCCCCTCCGCCCATCCCCCCACGCCCTCCGCCCATGGGTCTGGGGCTGGGCGCACCATCCGCGGGATCCATCCCTTGCTGCTGCATCTGCCCGTACTGCTGCCCGTACTGCTGCTGCTGCCCGAACTGTTGCCCGCCGCGCCCGCGGCCTCTGGGGGAGGGGGATGCGGGGTTGAACCCCCCAGAGTGCTGCCTCCCCAGGGGGGACCGCCCATCCCCCCGCGCACTCCCTGGTCCATACTGATACTGCTGCTGCTGTTGCATCATCTGCTGCTGCTGCTGTTGCATCATCTGCTGCTGCTGCTGTTGCATCATCTGCTGCTGCTGCTGCTGTTGCTGATAATACTCCTCGTCTCCGCTCCGACTTCCGTTCCCCCTTCTACTAGCCCTTCCGCCCCCCATAGGCCCCCCTGGCCCGTTCTCCCCTCCGCCATCCTCCCATCCGCCTCCTCCGCCACCCATTCCGCTTGACTCCACAGACGCTTTTCGCGAGTGCGGCTGGGGGAACGCTCCGCCACGCCCCGCCCCCCTTGCACTGCGCGGACCTGCGCCTGCTAGCTCCCCGCCCCCGCCCGCTCCGCCTCCCCCCGGGCCCGGCCCCGCGCCCCCATATTGCGCCTGTTGGCGCGCGCTGCTGTTGCTAGCCGCGGAGCTATTCGAGCCTGATCTGCGGTGTCTGCCTGCTGGCGGGGGCGGACAGGGCATTCCCCCTCCCCCCTGCTCCCCATACTCGTTCCCCGCGTCACTCTCCCCTCCCCCGCCTCCTCCGCGCGCTGCCCCGCTCATGCTCCGCCTGCCCCCGGGCCCCCGCATCCCCGCCCCTGAGTCGTCCTCAGACATATTCCCCGCGCCCCTGCTGAGGCTGCTGCTTCCGCGCCCTGCGCCCATCGCCCCCGCCTGCGGCTGCGCATTGCCCTGGAAACTCCGCGTTCTGAAAGCCCCCGTCCCCGTTGACGCGGACCTTCCGCGCGCGGACAGCGCCTGTTGCTCCTCGTCCTCTTCCGCCACTTCCGCCTCCTCCCCCTGCTGCTGCTGCTGCCGCCGTTGGCGCTGCTGCTGTGGCGGCGGCGGCTGATCTTCCGCCTCCTCGTCCTCTTCCGCCGTGGGCGGAAGGAAGACCGCGTAGCGCGACACCTTGAGGCACTTTCCGCACCGCAGCTTCTGCTGACCTTTCTTCGGCGGAGGCAGGTTAATTGGCACGGCTAGGGTTTGGAAGCACCATTGACACTGCAGTGGGTGAGAGATGGGGAACGGGGAGCGGGGACGGAAAGCGGGAAGCGGGAAGAGGGATAGGTTCAGGGGATGCTTAAAAGGTGCAGACTCCCCCATACACACGCACAGACTCCCACCCGTTCCCCCCAACTTACGACACGACACATACGCGCATCCACTGATTCTTAGGCGGGCGCATACCTGCACGACTTGCGGTATTTCGCCGCAGGCGCATACCTGAACGACTTGCGGAGCTCCGGGCGGCGGAAGCATGGGCAGTCGCTGCCGCGGAACGTCCTTCCCCGAGATCGTCCTATTGTCCGCCCCGCGCCCCACCGCCGCAATCGTCTTCGCGCGGAAATACTGCACCTGTTCCTCCCCCCCGCTCGCGCTACCGCTTCCGCCCGCGCCGAGTTTCGAGCGCGAGGGCGCGGGGCTGCGCGGATCGCGCGCGGAAGCTGCGGACATGGCGGACATGGCGGAGACAGAGGAGGAGGAGGAGGAAGTGCGCGAGACGGAGGGGCGAGCCCCGCCTGGCCGCCGTTCGTCGTCGAGCATGCGTTCGGAATGAGCCGAACTGACCGAGGCTTGGCCGAAGCTGTTGGTTCGGGAAAAACGCTCGTCCTGTCGAAATGGGAAAGCGCCACGTGGAAACAAGACGACGGGGAGGGCGTAAACAGCAGCAACCGCTGATAAAAGCCGATGATACAAAAACACTGCGCAGAATAAGAGTAAAAAAACAATTAATAAAGACATTGATAAAAAAGAGTCGTGACAGATGCAATTCCTCACCTCATCCATGGGTTGTCGTCTCGATGCGCTCCGTGATGAGCTGTACCCGCTTTCCTGCCCGCCCATGTCCATACTCTCGTCCCCCGACGGCTGTCTCCGCCTACTCGCCGATCCCCTCCCGCCACCCCCCCTGGCATACCCGCCACGTGGCGACGGCGACGGCATGCCACGTGGCGTCATGTCATCTTCCGAGTACGCTACCGGGTTGCTGTACGAATGGGTTCTGTTCACGGTGGGACCGTCTTGCCATTGATCCGGTCGATCACCTTCGTCGTCTGAACGCTCAGACGACTGCTTTTTGACGGACTTGACTGTCGAGCGAACGGCGCCGCCTCTGCCTCGCCCGCTTCCGCCAGACGCTACCCGAGACGCTCCGGGAGTAGTTGGGTTCATGCCGTTAGGGTTTCGTCCTGGGCTGGCTGTGATTCCTAGATTGCGCGGCGGCCATTGGCCTTGTCCCGATGAGCGGCCCGGGCCGTCCATGTTATGTTTGCGCCGTGTACGTCGATCTAGATTGACTGACTAAACTGGTAGGTCTAAGAAAGCGTAATATGCTTAGGCAAGAGAACGTAACTATCGCGTAGAAATGCCAGAAAGTCCGACGATAAAGATTAATGATTACTTAAAAAGGCACATAGCTATCTGTAACTGGAAAAAGCAAACAGTTGGTGAGGTACTAAGTCAACGAGAAACGGAAAACATAGCCAGGATAACTGACCCATTAGAAGCACGAACGAGATACGTCAGTTCCGGAAACCGAAAAACACTCTCTATAAAGAGTCGGTAGCGTGAACAGGGTGAGCGAGCCATCTCTTTCTATTCATAATTACGACGGAGTCAACGACGCACGCCGTCCTAGTAGTCTTCACAGAAAAATGGCGGGAGAAATTAGGGTTCCAGTAAGCAAGTCAACAACAGATACAACCACACAGGCAATGCACCACCTCTGGCGGTGTGGTGTGGTGCGGTGTGGTGTGGCAGAGAGAGGGTGCTGCTGCTGCTGGGCCTAGAAATTGGTGAGCGCGCCGAGGAAAATTTGGCGGTTGGAACTTGGAAGTTGACGAACTGACGGACAATTCGAACTGCGATCTCATTTTCCCAGTGCGGGTTTGCAAATGCAATCTTTTCGGGCAGAACCATGCGGCTGCCCGTGTTTAGGTTTGGGGCTCCCCCTGTTTAGGGTTGGAGCTCCCCTAATCGCATGCCATCCAGTTGGGGTTTATTTTTTTCAGACCGCGGGCAGATTACGACCCATCAGCTTCTTCCAGGCGGATTGTTAGGGATCGCATTTGCGAACCGCGCTGGCTTAATTGGATTGCAGCTGAAGTTGTCCCACGAACTGAAGAGGAGGAATCGAGGAAGGCCACACTGTACGAGAAGTACAGTGCGAAATACTGGCAGCAGATTGGTCAGCTGGCTGCGTGCCTGCCTGTTGGCCTTGGGGAATTGCTTGCGTCGCGTCGCGTCGGTTTCTTCGCCGTGATGGCGTTATAACGAGCACGATATAACGAGGCAGACACAATGGGGTTTTGTTCGATAGAATTGCTGCTTCGTGGCCTGCCTGCCACGAACAAGCAACAAGAAGCGTAAACGAAACTCCCCACTATCAATAGAATTATCCCTGAACACTTCGGCTAGCCCCATATCCGAATCAATGCATGTACGCTGTGAAACAACCAACAATATTACCGTATATCAGTTCACTTTTCAAACAACTCATTGCATCTCATGCAATGCAACACTAGTCTTCAGTACAATAAAATCAAAAGTTTAAGCAAATCGACTGGATTGGCTGCCAAGTCCGCTGGCCCTCCTTGAACCAGTGGAGTCTACAGCCAGAGGGAGTGGCTGGCACATCCCTCTCTGCGGAGATTGAACCAGCATGAACCGGCCACTGCTCCTCATGCACCGCATACTAACAGGAGAAATTGTTCTCACTGCTTCTGCTTCCTTATTCCTAGAGTGGCGCTGACAGTTCTCGTGGTAACAATGGTGGTGGTAACCAGGCGACACTGCACGTGCCTCGCACAGTACCACGTGGCCCTTGCTCCGGGTGGGCTGGAGCGCTACAGCTGCCCGGACGCATGGCAGGGACCAGAATGGCCGAAGTTCATGCTGCGATGATTCCGGGTGTAGCTCCTCCTGGAGAGCGGGACAATTGAGTTGACTGGGTTGACTGAATCTACTGCGTTGGCTCGGTTGACTACGTTGACTGGGGGGGAGGGCGGCTGGAGTGGAGGAACAGGAGACAAGGGAGAAGCGTGTGTGTCCAGGATAGGGGACTGGCGACTGTGGGCTAGAGTGGGAGGCTGGCGGCTGCTGACGTGGCGGAAACAGCGACGGGGATCGAGGGGCGAGAAACGGAGGAGAAAAGCGGGGAGGGGATGGAGGCGGAATGGCAGGGGTGGGAGAAGTGGAAGAGGCGGGACGAAGCGAGGAGCCAGGGGGAAGGGAGGCTGGTGAGGCCTCCTCATCGAATATGTTGGGGGAGAGCATCGGCGGAGAGGAGGACGGCGGGTCAGATGATTCGCCTTGTCGGCGTGAGCTTGGATTCGCCGCCGTCACGTGTCCTGACAACGCTCTCACCGCGCGGCCCTCATCCGATGATGCGCGTTCCTCCCATGATGCTGCGCACTCTGCAGCCGCGTCGTCTCCACTGAACTGTGACTGAGTGCTGCTGCTGCTGCTGCTGCTGCTGCTGCTGCTGCAGTCATTGGACTCTGCATACCCACGACGAAACTGCTGCTGCTTCTGCCAGCGAAGGCTGGTCATACTAGCAGTTTTAGTGGCACCGGTTCCAATAATACGCGCCGTGTGCTTCGCGCTGTGGTGGTGCTCGCCGTCGCTGCAGTACCCGCTTCCGTCGGCAGTTCTGTCGCAGGAGGCGCTCAAGGCGCCGCTAAACGCGCTGAGGCCGCGAGGTTCCAAGTGCTCGCTGAATGCGCAGCTGCTTCCGCTGTCGGACATCGCTAACTCGTCCGCGAAACCTAAAATTCTCGGATCGTCCATTCTCAGTAAGCACAAATTCTGATTCGAAGGCGCGATTTCTTTATTCAATCGGTAGGCGACAAGACGAACGAGAGATGCTTGAAAGCTGAGTGATTCCGTTTCACGCTGTCCTGACTGAAGCTTGCTTCATTTTATGGAGGAACCCAAGAATATTCGAGTGATCTGGACGTCTAAATTTGTGCGTTGCTGACGGTGACGTGGGTTTCCGGAAATCTCGAGGCACAATGGTCACACGCGGTGGACAAGGGAGGAATCGCGTAAGCGCCACTTCACCGCCACCATGCGGTGACGCGGAAAAGCAGGTACTGTACTGCACACTACGCGGAAAGGTGGTGTTCCGCCCACATGCATCTTTCACCCCCACACCACACTTGACCTGGGGTGGGTGGTGATGCACTGGCGCAGGGGGCACGGTGTCGTGTATTGTAGGTCGCGCAAGCGTCGCCGCCGCCAATTGTCACTCTGTCACTCACCCAAAGCTACTTCGTCACCGCGTCGTCCAGTAGACAAGTTCTTCGTTAACGCCATCATCGAGTGTTTCGCTCGAGGCTTCGCCCACTTTTTGTAACCGGTTTCGTATCACTGCTACGGTACATGTGAAAGAAACTTCTGGTGGTGTTGTGGCTTGTGAGGGGAGACTCGTTTCTCTAAGGTGATTTTTTACACCTTGTGGTACCGTATCTCTGCACTAAAGATTCACATCCATAACGCAATCACAATAATGGTAGCTAATCCAAGTCTAAATAATCCGGCCTTTCCACCAGGCTAGAAGTCTGAAGGCACACACACACACGGCATCCAGAAGCTGCTGAGCACGTGAAATTTCATGCCACTATGTACAGCACATGCAAAACAAATCACAACCGCATCCAATAGCTGCTGAACACATGAAAGTTCACGACTACAAAATCAAATTCCTAGGCTCCAAATCAACCACGCTGCATGACAGGTACCTATACAGCAGCACGATATGCTTCAGAAATGGCTGCAGCACACGTGCAGGTGAGCACAGAATATCTGAGCAAAAACTGCTAGTCTTCCAATGCTTGCACTCCATCACATGCTTCCCAGAACACGTGCATCATTCCCCAACAGATGCTTCACCGGTGGAGAATTTCCATGCTCGCTGCTGGTGTCGCTGCTGATGTCACTCATTGCGAATCCACCTGAATCGCTGCTGTCACCGCTACCAGGAACACGCGAGTGACCATACACACCATGACTACCATGGCTGTACGGGGACGAAGCCTTGGATGAGTGAGTTGCATGTTGTTGAGTCGAATCAAAAACAGGCGAGTGAGAAAACACGCCAAGACCACCCTGGCTGTACGGGGATGAAGCCTTAGATGAGTAAAAACTTTGGCTGCGCCAACTGGAGCGAGGCGAAGCGTTGATGCTCAAGCTGTCGTTTGCGACACATGCTCCCTTAGCGGCTGCTTCTAACACGCCACTCTTTAATGAGGATGTTCTGCGGGCACAACGGCCGGACCGATCGCCTTTCGCGGACTGCTGGTTCGACTGAAACAGCAGCAAGCGGCCGCTGTTGCGAACGGAATGAAGGCTTACAGGAGAAACCGCTGTCTGCACTTCCGATAAAGTCACATGGCCCTTGCTCCGCGTCGGCTGTAGCGCGGTAGCAGGACGAATGCACGGCAACGACCAAAACGGCTGTAGCCCGCGGTGCGGTTCGGACGAAGATTCCGAGAACCTTGACCTGCAGCTTTGACGGATGGTAGCAGCGGAGTCGCTACTCATGCGCCGGAGAGACGGCAAATTCTGACAGCCGCGCTGCGTGTTGCCGTCACGGCGTTGCTCGTCTGTGTCTGAGACAGAAACTTGGAGATTCCAAAGCTGCTGCTGCTGCTGCTCCTGCTGCTGCTGGTAATAGTTGTCCCAGTCGTTATCCAGCTGCTGTGGATGGGAGAAGGTGTGGTGATGGCGGTGGTGGCGATGGTCAGAGTGGTGGAGGTTTGGATGGTGATGGTAGTCGTGGTTCTGGCAGGTTTGTCGACAGCAGTGATGCGCCGGCGAATTTGGCACTGGCGAGGACGCGGTAACCCTCCATGCTTCGCCGACGTCTAATGAACGCTCCGTATGTCGGTCGCATGATTTAGTCCTTTCAACCGAGCGAGGTTGTTCCGAAACAATGTTAGAGCAGATAGGTTCCAAAGAAGATGTACAGGAAGCAAGGCGAGCGCCTTGATGTTGTGACTCTAATAATGAACGTTCTTGAGATTTCTCATGGTAACTAATTTGGTCCCAGAACTGAGTGTCGTTGCTTCGACTGTCACGGTTCGCGACCTGATGACCTCTGTACACGAGCTGCGGATCCATTAGAAAGAGACGATGATGCGCGACAGTGCTAAGATTGATCACAGGAACAACACCAGTTTACACAAACGCATGTCTCTTGACAGGAGCAGGCCAAGCCTGTGTCGATGAGTGCATGAGAACGAGAACTACGAACGATCGGGGACAGCACAACGAGCTTATCAAACAAACAGCCACATTATGAAGAGCCAAAGAAAGCCAGGACCTTGCGTTCTTCGTCGCGTTCAGTTGTGCAGTTGATCAGGACGAAAAATGGGCCAAGGGCAGAGCGCGTGGGCGACAAGTGGAATGAAAAAGAAAGGGTGGGGGGAGTGGAGGGGGGGCTGAGTGAAGTGAAAGGGGAATGTAAGGGAATGAAGTGGTGGTGGTGGTGGGACGAGTGAAAGGGGAACGAACAGTCGTGAGGTGAGATTCATCCAGCCAAGAGAGATGCTTTGGGGGGCTGAGGGGAGGGGAGAGGAGGGGAAGGAGGGCGGGAGATGAGATTTTCCAACAGAGGACATGATGGGAGCAGATGGTTTGCTGGCGGGATGTCAAGTGAAATTGAGAGCTGCCCACGGGCAGAACGCACATGATGCCTTGTGACGTGATGCGATGATGTCTTGTATATTTTGACCGACAGACTCCCCCACTTATACAGTACAGTACATGCATGTTCAACACATCACACTGGTGGAACGCGTCCCGAGTCTTTTTTTCAAGACGCATCGTGAGCGTTCCTTCGAGTGGCGGCTGATCATGTGAATCGTCGATGCACTGCGCAGTGGAGCAGCGCGTTTCTCCGCCATGACGGAAACGTGTAGACTTTCGTGACACTCCCCGTCAGGGAGCCACGACACGAGGACGACTCACCGCCACTGTAGCGGACACTCAAACGGGACCAATCCAGTCAGAATCATTCAGGATAAACATGCACGTTCACTTCTCCAATCAGGTGCGTCGGTGCTGGTCAGACATGGGCTGGTCTTGAGTCAGCTTCGGATTTCGAAGGCAAGTTCGCTGCCCCCCCCTACCCAGCTTCCTTCGGCAATGTGGCTGAAAAAATCTTCCCGCAGGGTGGCGAGATTCCACGTCATACTTGACTGGAGCACGTGTCTAGAACAGCAAGAATCAATTCAGATTACAGTACAACGCAATTCCGGTACAAACAATCTAAGAAACCATATCCCTACGTCCATTGCAAATTAGTCATTGGTACCACTATGGTACTTCAGAACCTAACACCCTAGTATTGATCTAAAACTGCTAAGAAAAAAACACTAACGCAAGATGCTTTCCGATCGATATCAACTTATTACATACTCCCGCCGGCAACGTCAAAAGCTAGAATGAAGTTAGCGCTTCCGACGGTTGTCCTCAACGGGAGTAGGGTTGCCCTTCTTCATCATGGCACAGAACTCGTTATAGTCAATGCGGCCATCCTGCCACAGCAGCAACAACCCAACACAATGCATCAACAATAAGCCCACTTGGCAAGCATCATCCTGTCATCACAATACATCTTCCCATCCACTCAGACACCCCTCCTCAAAGCACTCTCACATTATCCAAGTCCACCTGCAGGATGGCATCAATCTCGCCTGGCAGCAGCACTCACACACTGTCCGGGCCCACTCTTGGCATGTGAAACATCACCCCGCATGTATGCCCCTCCCTCGCATGCCCTCCCTCGCATGCCCTCTCGCCTCAACTCACATTATCCGAGTCCACCTCCTGCAGGATCGCATCAATCTCGCCTGGCAGCAGCGCCTCCTCCTTAGACAGCGCCTCCCGCAGCTCGTCCACCGTGATGTACCTGGGGGGCAGGGAAGGGGGAGGGGGGGAGATGGGGGATTGGATAGGCTAGTTAGGACGGGGCACACACTGCTTACAGCAGCGCCTCCTCCTTGGACAGCACCTTCCCGCACTTCGTCCACAGAGATGTACCTGATGAGGGAGATGATGTGGAATTGTGCGGATGGGGGTTGGACAAGCAGTGAGTCAGGGAAGCAGCACACTGCTTACAGCAGCGCCTCCTCCTTAGACAGCGCCTCCCGCAGCTCCTGGTGATGTACCTGGTGGAGAGGGGGGGGGAGGGGGGAGATGGAACGGTTGGGACGCGGTGTTTGGCTTGGATGCGGGGAGAGTAGGGGAAGCAGCAGCGCCACCTCCTTAGACAGCGCCTCCCGCAGCTCCTGGTGATGTACCTGGTGGAGAGGGGGGGGGGGGGAGGGGGGGAGATGGAACGGTTGGGACGCGGTGTTTGGCTTGGATGCGGGGAGAGTAGGGGAAGCAGCAGCGCCGCCTCCTTGAACAGCGCCTCACGCAGCTCCTGGTGATGTACCTGGTGGAGAGGGGGGGGGGGGGGGGGGGGAGGGGGGAGATGGAAGGGTTGGGAAGCGGTGTTTGGCTTGGATGCGGGGAGAGTAGGGGAAGCAGCAGCGCCGCCTCCTTGAACAGCGCCTCACGCAGCTCCTGGTGATGTACCTGGTGGAGAGGGGGGGGGAGGGGGGAGATGGAAGGGTTGGGAAGCGGTGTTTGGCTTGGATGCGGGGAGAGTAGGGGAAGCAGCAGCGCCGCCTCCTTGAACAGCGCCTCACGCAGCTCCTGGTGATGTACCTGGTGGAGAGGGGGGGGGGGGGGGGGGGGGGGGGGGGGGGGGGGGGGTGGGGGGGGGGGGGGGGGGGGGGGGGGGGGGGAAGGCGGTGCTTGCACTCTCCCACTGCCACTCGCTCAACAATACATCAGTAACGGTCACACAGTCAGGCACATTCCCCCCACCCCACCTACCCGCTGCCATCAGCATCAAAGTGTTGGAAGGCCTGGACATTTCTCCTCCTTCCTACAGCCACTCACTCAACACTGCCGCATGCCATCACAGTCAGGGTCTCGCAGTCACAAGCAATCAGCCTCAACTCACCCGCTGCCGTCAGCGTCAAAGTGTTGGAAGGCCTGGAAGAGGTTCTCCTCCTTCTCCACCTTGTTCATGTGGATCGTGGCCGTTATGAACTCCTGGTAGTCTATCGTCCCACTGTTGTCCACGTCAGCCTGCCACGTGGCACCACGAGGGAGGGGTTGGGGGGAAAATTGGACAGATTGGTCCAGGTTAGCACTGCATGGCTGTGAGAAACTGCTTTTGAAACTTCCTGAAACTCTGGCTCCTGAGTAGACTGATCACCAATCCAATCCAGCAGCAGTCCACAAGTGGGATATGCCCTCATCACCCCATGACGCCACTCACCGCCTCCATAAGCGGCCGCACTTGCTCCTCGGGCATGTTAGACCCCATCTTCTTCAGCCCCTCAAGTCAATCCAACACACACTCATCGCCCCCATAAGATACCTCATCGGCCCTCACCGCCCCCATGCGTACCAAACTGCACCGCGCTGCACCACACTGCACCACTCACCGCCTCCATGAGCTGTCGCACTTGCTCCTCGGGCATGTTATTCCCCATCTTCTTGAGTCCCTCCTTGAGCCGACCCAGCTCACCCCCCCATAAAATGCCTCAACGCCCCTCCTTTATAAGTACCACGCTGAACCGCGCTGCACCACACTGCACCACTCACCGCCTCCATGAGCTGTCGCACTTGCTCCTCGGGCATGTTACTCCCCATCTTCTTGAGCCCCTCCTTGAGCTCCTCAAACGTGATCGACCCGCTGCCGTCCTCGTCAATGCTCTTGAACATCTCCTTGAGCCCCATGATCTCCTCCTCCGACATGTGGCTCGCAATGACCTGAGGGGAAAGGGGACGGTGTGGGACAGGGAGCAGGGGGGAACGAGGGGGGGTAAGGCAAGGGTGACCCGGTGTTATTATCCTCGTCGATGCTCTTCAACATCTCCTTGAGCCCCATGATCTCCTCCTCCTCCGACATGTGGCTCGCAATGACCTGGCGTGCGGGATACACGTTGGGAGTAGGAAACACAAGGTTGGAAGACGGCAAAGTATGAGCACACTGCTGCCATCCTCGTCGATGCTCTTGAACATCTCCTTGAGCCCCATGATCTCCTCCTCCGACAGGTGGCTTGCGATGACCTGCGTGAGGAACAGGGATAGGTGGGGAGGAGGGTTAAGCCACGGATCTACTTGCTGCCGTCCTCATCGATGCTCTTCAACATCTCCTTCAACCCCATAATGTCCTCCTCTGACATGTGACTCGCAATGGTGGAGAACTGAGCCTCCAACCAACCAACCAACCAACCGACCGACTCCAACCTCCAACTAACCGCTTTCCACCGCTCACAAACTCAGCCCACCTTGAGCACGAGGCGCTTCATCTTGTTCATGGTGGAGAACTGCTTCAGCTTCGTCAGCACCACTGCCATGCACCTCCAGCCACCCTTTTAAAACCGTCTCTCACCGCTCTAAACACCTCTTTACTCCTCACCTTGAGCGCGATGTTCTCACCTTGAGCACGAGACGCTTCATCTTGTTTATGGCAGAGAATTTTGAGCTTCGTCACACCCACCTGCACCTCCAACCAACACCTAAACCGCCTTCCACCGCTCTGAACACCACTTAATTCCGCACCTTGAGCGCGAGGCGCTTCATCTTGTTCATGGCGGAGAACTGCTTCAGCTTCGTCAGCACTGCCGAGTCAAGAGGCACGTCCGATGCCTCGCCGTCCACCTTCACCCACGGGTGCTCTGCATAACAGGAGAAAAGAAGAGGGGAGCGAGAGGGGGTTGAGGAATTGAGGTGTGGGACTTATGAGGAGGAGCTTCGTCAGCACCTCCGAGTCCAGCAGCACGTCCGACGCCTCTCCGTCCACCTCCACCCACGGGTGCTCTGTTTAGTCGGAGGGAGGGGGGCAGAAGGAGGGGGAGGTGGGGGGGGCGGGTGGGAGTTATGAGGACGAGCATGTGAGGTGGGAGGCACGTCTGACGCCTTCCCGTCCAACTTCACCCACGGGTGCTCTGCGCAGGAGAGGAGGATGGGGAGGGGAAGGGGCGCGGAGGGTGGGGGACGGGTGGGAGATTTGAGGACAAGTTTCGACAGCACAGCCGAGTCAAGAGAGACGTTCGAATGGGCTCGATCAGGTTCTTCGCGGACGATGAGACTAGACACACGCGCACTCAGCTCTTTGCAGGCAACCCCCCCAATACCCCCATAATCCTACGGGTAACTCACACACTACCCCAGGCAAACTTACGGAGCACTTCGCGCACAGACATGCGGTCTTTGATGTCCTGCTTGAGCATGCGCTTGATGAGGTCCTTGGCGGACGACGAGATGAGCGGCCAGGACAGCCCAGCTCTCAACAGGTGACCCACGCAATACCCCCACTACCTACGGGTAACTCACACACTACCCCCATAAATTCCAAGAATCACTCACGAAGCACTTCGCGCGCCGTCATGCGGTCTTTGATGTCCTGCTTGAGCATGCGCTTAATGAGGTCCTTGGCGGACGACGAGATGAGAGGCCAGGACAGCCCAGCTCTCAACAGGTAACCCACGCAATACCCCCACTACCTACGGGTAACTCACACACTACCCCCATAAATTCCAAGAATTACTCACGAAGCACTTCGCGCGCCGTCATGCGGTCTTTGATGTCCTGCTTGAGCATGCGCTTAATGAGGTCCTTGGCGGACGACGAGATGAGCGGCCAGGGGTCGGAGGAAAAGTCAATGTGCCCCTTGAGTACCGCGTCGAATATGCCCTGCTCCGACTCTGGTCATAAGGGAAGGTTGTCGAGGAGAGGAGGTGGGAGCGCATGTGAGGCGACGGATAAGAGGGGGGTCAAGGGTCGGACGAGAAGTCGATGTGCCCCTCGAATATGCCCTGCTCCGACTCTGGTAGGAAGAGGCGGAGGGGAGGGGCAGGGGGGGGGGGGGGGGGGGGGGTGGGCGAGAGAGCGCATGTGAGGCGACAGAGGTCGGAGGAAAAGTCGATGTGCCCCTTGAGCACTGCGTCGAATATGCCCTGCTCCGACTCTGGTGGGTGATGGGGGAGGAGGTGAGGGAGGGAGGAAAGGGGGGGTGGGACAAGAAGGAGGATGAGAAGTCGATATGCAGGGGTTCGGCGGAGGCGGGGGAGATGGGGTGAACGGGATGCGGAAGGGAACAACGCATTGAAAGAGCAAGTCGCGGTGAAGGAAAATAGGGTTTGGGTCAAGTAGTCTAGAGATTACGACACCTTCGAAACGTTCCCAAAGCGATGTTTCAGAGACGAGCGGCAGGTTCATCTGCCCATATGCGGCGGCAAGGCTCACAGCAGGATGTAGAAGATGACGCCGCAGAAGCTAAACACGGCACGACCGCCTTCCGATTAGCTGATGAGCCTATTGAAGCCTACTCAAACGTCGGACCTGCCTATCCACTCATGTAGCCCATAAAGGGCGGCAGACTCACCTGATTAGACGGCCGGCAGACTGACCTGCCCAGAAGGGCGGCACGCCGCAGAGCAGGATGTAGAGGATGACGCCGCAACTCCACACGTCCGCCTCCGGCCCGTACTTTCGCCGAAGCACCTCGGGAGCCACGTAGTACGCGCTTCCCACGATGTCAGAAAAGGTTTCGCCTGCCCGAGCGGATAAGGGATAAGTGACGAATGGTGGAAGAACAAGGGATGTGAAAAAAAAAAAAAAAAAAAAAAAAAAAAAAGGCCAGAGGCAGGCATTGACGCACTCTTTTTCTTCTTCTTTTCTTTTCCCCTGTGGAAAGAGGGGTTGGGAAGTGATAAAAAGTCCTACAAATTTCGCCGTCGTCCTATTCATGGTACGATTTCAACACCCAATGCGCCAAAAAAAAAAAAAAAACAAGGGTAGACGCCCCAGAGTTTTCATCACTGATGTTAACAGAGGCCAGCTCACCTGGCTTGTAGAAGATGGAGAGGCCGAAATCAGTGGCCTTGAGCGGCGCGTCCTCCTTCTTGCTGGCGAGGAGGAAGTTCTCGGGCTTGAGGTCACGATGCATGACGCCATTGGCGTGGCAGTACTCCACCACCGACACCACCGTGCGGATCAGGTTTGCCGCGGCGCGCTCGCTGTAATGTCCGCGCGCGATGATCCGGTCGAAGAGCTCTCCGCCCGCGCAGAGCTCCATGACGATGTGGACCGAGTGCTTGTCCTCATAAGCACCCTTCATTTTAACCACGTTCGGGTGGTCGACGAGGTGATGCATAATCGCGACCTCGCGCTTGACGTCTTCGACGTCTTCTGCGGTAACCAGCTTGCGCTTCGCGATGGACTTGCACGCGTACTGCTCGCCCGTGCTCTTGTCCGTGCAGAGATATGTTACTCCGAACTGGCCGCGCCCCAGCTCGCGCCCGATCGTGAAGTGATTCTTCACGTCCTCTGCCGGCCGGCCGAGCACGTTCGCCGTCAAGTTGCCGGCTTTTTTGGATCCTCCGGACGCGGATTTGCCGGCTGTTGGAGGTGCGGAGTCGGCTGCGGTAGCAGTCGCGGCGCCAGCAGCGGTTGCTCCAGCGGAGGCGGACGGCGGAGCCGCGGCTTCCGATTTAGGCGGAGCGGAGGGGCCATCGTCTGTCTTGGGCTTCGAAGCGCAACAGCCCATTTTTCTAAAAAAAATAGGAAAGAGTATTTGCGTGTCAAGCAGCCGATGATGTAGTAGGCGACTGTTAGGAGCTTGCTAGAAACTACAGGCGACTGTTGCAAGTCTTGCTGGAGATTAGGATGTCTTGATGAAAATTATTATTTTCTGTTACCTAGGGCTCCTGGTTCCTGACCTACTCAGCTTAGTGAGCTCGGAAACTTGACCAGAAACCTTAGTAGTGAGACACCGAGCGGAAATAGTACGAACGGACAGTCCTACAACAGGAGGCCTATTGCAGAGGAACGGAAAAGCACACACCACGGCGCCTTGTGCTTGTTGAAACTATTTGGTGAAAATCACCTCCTAGGGAATTGCTTTGCCAGGCTGGAGGAGGGAAAGGCAGGCAGGACCCTGTGAGAACAAACTCCCCCACGGCGCAGTGCGCAAGCAAGCTATTCTCTCGCCCAACTAGATTCCTTCAAGAAAGCCTAAGCATTTTAGGGCAGTGGGAATAACATTCAGGTCCCCTCTAACTGTGGAATCTCTCGGGAGATGTTTGTTCTTGTTTTACGAGATAGTTACGGATAAGAAGTTCTTGGCAAAGTACCAGTGGTAAAACGATAGTACTCAAAGGCTCAACCTTTTTCGTGGACGCTCCCCTTGCGAATTGTGTGCGCGGAGGGGCCATAATTCAACCGCATGCGAACAGCTGCAAGCGCAGATGGTTGGGTCTGCCGCACGCATATGCTCGGAGGGTGCCCCTTGGGAATGCCCCGCAGCTTGGGAAAAGGCAAGACCGATGGCGGCGCGCTTCTCTCTCTGAAAGAACGCGACGTGTTGGCGAAAATATCAACGGTAAGCCGACGCGCTCTGGTGGATTATTAAGTGTGAGTGTATTTAACAGAGTGCAAAACAGAAGAAAACATATGAGAAATGGCAAGACATAAATAAGGAAAAGCCCATAAGCCCAATCACAACATCAGGAAAAAACAAAACTGAATCAAGGCTTTGAAGCAAATTTTTGGTGCAAATAATATGCTTCAACTCAATTTACTGATTATTGATCCTACAACAATACCTGCCATAGCACCAGCTAAAATCGTGCTATGCAATTTCCCTACTGCTTTTCTAATGACTGAACTAAAGGTTGAGAACTAGGTCTAATCCATCATCCTGCGCCCCTGCTTCCCTATCACCATTGATCCCTGGCGTTGCTTCCAATGATGGTTGCTCTAACACATGTTCCTCTCTTCTTGGCACTGATGGTTCGCCTTGGCGGGGTCCGCTTTGGGCTTGGGTTAAGCTATTTGCTGTTGCACTCGTAACATTTCCAGCCGCATCGTAACCAGCAGATGCATTCGTATCATTACGGCTCCCCATGTGAGCATGTAGCAGCCAATCCTGCACAGCGTTAGGGTTAGCACCAAGACCACCAACACCCTGCTGCTGCTGCATTTGCAACTGCTGCTGTTGCTGCTGCTGCATTTGCTGTTGCCGAAGCATCTGCTGCTGCAGCAGCTGCTGTTGCTGGTACTGCGACTGTTGGACGAGCAGCAGAGACTGCGAGACATGAGACACGTTCTGGTACGGAGAGGGGATGGGTGCTTGCTGTGAGAGATACATCTGCAGGGCGTGATTGTAGGCCGAGAGGAATTGAGATGTGGAGGCGGGGAATGGGGGTGTGTAAGAGGGAAATGGGGGTGTGGAGGAGGGGAATGGGGGTGTGGAGGAGGGGAATGGGGGTGTGGAGGAGGGAAATGGGGGTGTGGAGGAGGGTAATGGGGGTGTGGAGGAGGGGAATGGGGGTGTGGAGGAGGGAAATGGGGGTGTGGAGGAGGGAAATGGGGGGTGTGGAGGAGGGAAATTGGGGTGTGGAGGAGGGGAATGGGGGTGTGGAGGAGGGGAATGCGCCGAATGGATTTGGAAAGAAGGAGTGGGTGAGAGGTTGTTGGGAAGGCCAAGAGAGTGGATTGAGAGCAGCGAATGGGTTGGGGTGCATGGGCGACTGTATGGGGGGTTGGGGATGCATGGGAGGCTGCGGTAGGGAGGGAGATGGTACAAGGTTGAAGGATGGAAGGAACGGCTGGGTTGGCACATGTGTTGGTGCTGCTGCTGGTGCTGCTGGTGTTAGTGCTGCTGCGGCTGCTGCTGCTGCTGCTGGCGCTGCTGCTGCTGGCGCTGCTGCTGCTGGTGCTGCTGGTGCTGGTGCCGGTGCTGCTGGTGCTGCTGGTGCTGCTGCTGGTGCTTCTGGTGCTGGTGCCGGTGCTGCTGCTGCTGCTGCTGCTGCTGCTGCTGCTGCTGCTGCTGCTGCTGCTGCTGCTGCTGCTGCTGCTGCTGCTGCTGCTGCTGCTGCTGCTGCTGCTGCTGCTGCTGCTGCTGCTGCTGCTGCTGCTGCTGCTGCTGCTGCTGCTGCTGCTGCTGCTGCTGCTGCTGCTGCTGCTGCTGCTGATGGCAGTGCTGGGGATGCGGCCGCTGATAGTGCCAGGGACGTAAGACCCCTCTCAGCAGTAGACCGAACCCATGCATCTGACGCACCTGAAACACCTGAAGCTCCTGCAACACCTGATGTGCCTAAAGCAGCACCTGTGGCAGCAGCAGCACCACCACCACCAGCAGCACCACCAGCACCGGCAGCACTGGCAGCACCACCAGCACCTGAAGCCCCGGCAGCAGAAGCTGCTGCTGCAGCAGCCACCTCGCGCCTGACCACTGAGAGCACATGTGACACAAACGAAGGGTCCTGTAGGAGCGCCTCTTGCAACAACGACCGCTCCTGTGCTTCCTGCAGTGCTTGCTGCTGTGGATTCTGATGCTGCTGTTGCTGTTGGTCTTGGAGTTGTTGCTGCTGTTGCCTCCGCTGTGGTTGTTGCTGTTGCATCTGATGCTGTTGTTGCTGCTGCCTCTGTTCTTGCTGCCGTTGCTGTTGCCGTCGTTCCTGTTGTTGCTCTTGCTGCTGTTGTTCCTGGTATTGCTGCTGTTGCTGCCTTTGTTGATACTGCTGTCGCCCCTGCTGTGAGTGCTGCCCTTGTTGTTCCTCTTCCTGTCGTTGCTGCTGTTGCCGCCCTTGCTGTTTCTGCCATTGCTGCTGTCGTTCCTGCTGTTGCTGCTGTCGTTCCTGCTGTTGCTGCTGTCGCTCCTGCTGTTGCTGCTGTCGCTCCTGTTGCTGCTGTCGCTCCTCCTGTTGCTGGTGTGCAGAAGGAGGAGAGGCTGGAGTGGCAGGAAGGAAGGAGAACAGGGGAAGCTGTGACCACGACAGACCCGGCTGTACCTCTTGCTGCTGTCGCTGCTGTACCTCTCTTCCCTCTCTTCCCACTCTTCCCACTCCCTCCCCCTCACTCCGCCGCCTCACTTTCCCCCCTTCACACTCCCGCCCCACTCCCCTCCCCTCTCTCCCTCGCCCCACTCCTCCTCCCCTCTCAACTCCCCGCCCCGCAAAATCTCCATCCTCTTCTTCCTTCATCTCCCCTCCACCTTCTCTCATCCCTCTACCTCCTCCCGTTTCTCTACCTCCATCCATCCCTGCCAGCCCGTGTGCTGATTCACCATCCTCCATTGCCCAATACCCGCCCGCTTCTCCGCCCTCCCCCATGACTTGGCCCCTATGCATAGCTCCGCCCTCCCCCATACCTCCGCCCTCCCCCATGCCTCCGCCCTCCCCCATGCCTCCACCCCCCCTCATGCTTCCACCCTTTCCCATGCTTCCGCCTCTGTGCATGGCTCCGCCCTTTTCCTTAGCTGCTCTCATCTCTTCATCCTTCTCACTCTCTTCCACGTCCGCACTCTCCCTCCCTGCACCACTCTCCCTCCCTGCACCACTCTCCCTCCCTGCACCACTCTCCCTCCCTCCACCACTCTCCCTCCCTCCACCACTCTCCCTCCTCCCACCACGCTCACCACTCCCACACCCCCCACCAATCTCGCACCTCCCACTACTCTCACTCCTCCCAATCCTCTCACTCCTCCCACTACTCTCACTCTTCCCACTACTCTCACTCCTCCCACTACTCTCACTCCTCCCACAATCCTCACTCCCATCAAGGTTTTTATCGCCTTCCACACCAAAAATACGCCCTGATGAAGAGAGGGAAGAGGGGAGAGGAGGATGAGGAGGAGGGAGGAAAGAAAGGATTTTCTAGGCACCTCAAAAACCTCAAGAGGGGAATGTCGATGGTACATTTGGCACAGTGGAAATACGCCCTGATGGAGTGGGGGGGAGAGAGAGGGAGGAGGGTGGAGAGAAGGAGGGGGGAGGACAAGAGATGGTTCTTAAGGCGCTTCAAAAATCTTCTCGCACGAGAGAGGGGAGAGAGAAGAGCAAGCCACAGGGCGCAGTGCAGCAGTCAGGGGAAAGCAAGAGAAGTGTGGAGAGTTGAAATATTGAGGGGCTTCACCCAGTGGGTCTCTCACCCAGTGAAGCGAGGTTGTTTTTGAGACGTCTCAAAAACAACCTCGCTTCGAGTGGCTTCACCCAGTGGGTCTCTCACCCAGTGGATCCCTCACCTGGCGTATTCTCGCTCCATGAGGCACTTCTGTCCGTACTTGTGCCAGTGGTACCCATCGTCCGGTGCGCTCAGCCGCGGTGCCGACGCTGCCACTGGGGGTAGGCTGCCCGCGCTGCCTGCAGCACCAGGAGGAGCGGCGGCAGCAGCAGCACCGGCAGAAGCAGAAGCAGCAGCAGCAGCACCGGCAGAAGCAGAAGCAGCAGCAGCAGCAGCAGCAGCAGCAGCAGCAGCAGCAGCAGCAGCAGCAGCACCGGCGGCCGCCGCAGCGGCAGGACTTACACCGGCGGCAGGCACGCCGGCGCTCTCTCTGCAAGACATGGCCGTGCTGCTGCTGGTTGCATTCGGGGTGGTGGCGGTAGCGGTGGCGGTGGCGGCGGTGGTGGCGGCAGTGGTGTTGCCGATAGTAGCGGCGGTGGCAGAATTAGGGGTTGCAGAACCTGGAAAAGAGGGGTTGGATGGCCTTTGCTGTCCCACATGCCTTGACGAGGTTCCGAAGAGAGGTGGAGAAGGGAGGTGGGAGGATGGAAGATGGACGGAGTTGGGTGGGGAAGGGATTTGGGGAATAGGGAGGTGAAGGGAAAGAGGGAAATAAAGACATGAGCAGCAACACAACATTACCTACCTCCCTCCCTCCCTCCCTCCCTCCCGCCCTCCTCCCCCCAATTCCCCACTTCCCCACCTCCCCTCCCTCGACTCCCTTCCCTCCCTTTCCACCCTCCCCTTCCTGCACTTCCTGCCCTCCCTAGTCTCCCTGCTCTCCCTGGCCTCCCTGCCCTCCCTGCCCTTCCTCCCCTCCCTCCCCTCCCTCCCTACCTTCCTGTCTCCCTTCCTTGTAACCCTACCTGGCAGCAGCTGCATCGATCCCCATCCCTGCTGCCATCGCCGCCATTGAAGGAGCACCTCTCAGCGCCCTCCCTCCCCTCCCCTCCCTCACTCCCTCCCTCCCTTCGTCCATCCCTCCCTCCCCTTCAATCCCCTCCCCTCCCCTCCCCTCCCCTCCCCTCCCCTCCCCTCCCCTCCCCTCCCCTCCCCTCCCCTCCCCTCCCCTCCCTCCACAGCTCCCTCCCTCCCCACCCTTCCCTCCCTCCCTTCCTGTCTCCTCCTTCAAGCCCTACCTGGCAACAACTGCATCGATTCCCATCCCTGCTGTCATCGCCGGTGCCAGTGAGGGATCACCTCCTAACGCCCTCCCTCTCCCTCCCTCCCTCCCTCCCTCCCTCCCTCCCTCCCTCCCTCCCTCCCTCCCTCCCTCCCTCCCTCCCTCCCTCCCTCCCTCCCTCCCTCCCTCCCTCCCTCCCTCCCTCCCTCCCTCCCTCCCTCCCTCCCTCCCTCCCTCCCTCCCTCCCTCCCTCCCTCCCTCCCTCCCTCCCTCCCTCCCTCCCTCCCTCCCTCCCTCCCTCCCTCCCTCCCTCCCTCCCTCCCTCCCTCCCTCCCTCCCTCCCTCCCTCCCTCCCTCCCTCCCTCCCTCCCTCCCTCCCTCCCTCCCTCCCTCCCTCCCGCCCTTCCTGTCTCCTCCTTCAAACCGTACCTGGCAACAACTGCATCGATTCCCATCCCTGCTGCCATCGCCGCCATTGAAGGAGCACCTCCCAATGCCCATGCTCGCCAGGCAACCCTCCTTTCCTTTCGTCCCTACCATCCCTCCCTCTCTTTCTTCAAGCCCTACCTGGCAGCAACTGCATCGATTCCCATCCCTGCTGCCATCGCCGCCATTGAAGGAGCACCTCCCAATGCCCATGCTCGCCAGGCAACCCTCCTTTCCTTTCGTCCCTACCAACCCTCCCTCTCTTTCTTCAAGCCCTACCTGGCAGCAACTGCATCGATTCCCATCCCTGCTGCCATCGCCGCCATTGAAGGAGCACCTCCCAATGCCCATGCTCGCCAGGCAACCCTCCTTTCCTTTCGTCCCTACCATCCCTCCCTCTCTTTCTTCAAGCCCTACCTGGCAGCAACTGCATCGATTCCCATCCCTGCTGCCATCGCCGCCATTGAAGGAGCACCTCCCAATGCCCATGCTCGCCAGGCAACCCTCCTTTCCTTTCGTCCCTACCATCCCTCCCTCTCTTTCTTCAAGCCCTACCTGGCAGCAACTGCATCGATTCCCATCCCTGCTGCCATCGCCGCCATTGAAGGAGCACCTCCCAATGCCCATGCTCGCCAGGCAACCCTCCTTTCCTTTCGTCCCTACCATCCCTCCCTCTCTTTCTTCAAGCCCTACCTGGCAGCAACTGCATCGATTCCCATCCCTGCTGCCATCGCCGCCATTGAAGGAGCACCTCCCAATGCCCATGCTCGCCAGGCAACCCTCCTTTCCTTTCGTCCCTACCATCCCTCCCTCTCTTTCTTCAAGCCCTACCTGGCAGCAACTGCATCGATTCCCATCCCTGCTGCCATCGCCGCCATTGAAGGAGCACCTCCCAATGCCCATGCTCGCCAGGCAACCCTCCTTTCCTTTCGTCCCTACCATCCCTCCCTCTCTTTCTTCAAGCCCTACCTGGCAGCAACTGCATCGATTCCCATCCCTGCTGCCATCGCCGCCATTGAAGGAGCACCTCCCAATGCCCATGCTCGCCAGGCAACCCTCCTTTCCTTTCGTCCCTACCATCCCTCCCTCTCTTTCTTCAAGCCCTACCTGGCAGCAACTGCATCGATTCCCATCCCTGCTGCCATCGCCGCCATTGAAGGAGCACCTCCCAATGCCCATGCTCGCCAGGCAACCCTCCTTTCCTTTCGTCCCTACCATCCCTCCCTCTCTTTCTTCAAGCCCTACCTGGCAGCAACTGCATCGATTCCCATCCCTGCTGCCATCGCCGCCATTGAAGGAGCACCTCCCAATGCCCATGCTCGCCAGGCAACCCTCCTTTCCTTTCGTCCCTACCATCCCTCCCTCTCTTTCTTCAAGCCCTACCTGGCAGCAACTGCATCGATTCCCATCCCTGCTGCCATCGCCGCCATTGAAGGAGCACCTCCCAATGCCCATGCTCGCCAGGCAACCCTCCTTTCCTTTCGTCCCTACCATCCCTCCCTCTCTTTCTTCAAGCCCTACCTGGCAGCAACTGCATCGATTCCCATCCCTGCTGCCATCGCCGGTGCCAGTGAGGGATCACCTCCTAACGCCCTCCCTCCCCTCCCTCCCTCCCCTCCCTCCTCCCCTCCCTCCCTCCCCTCCCTCCTCCCTCCCCTCCCTCCCTCCCTCCCTCCCTCCCTCCCTCCCTCCCTCCCTCCCTCCCTCCCTCCCTCCCTCCCTCCCTCCCTCCCTCCCTCCCTCCCTCCCTCCCTCCCTCCCTCCCTCCCTCCCTCCCTCCCTCCCTCCCTCCCTCCCTCCCTCCCTCCCTCCCTCCCTCCCTCCCTCCCTCCCTCCCTCCCTCCCTCCCTCCCTCCCTCCCTCCCTCCCTCCCTCCCTCCCTCCCTTCAACCCCTACCTGGGAACAACTGCATCGATCCCCATCCCTGCTGTCATCCCCGGCGCCAGTGAGGGAGCACCTCCCAACGCCCATGCCTGCGGCGCAGTACCACTCCAGACGCTGTTTACGCCCCCAGGGTTACCACCCCTAACAGGGCTGGCAACACCAGGAGCCCATGACTGAACGCCCCATGCAGAGCTGTTGCTGCCTTGAATCCCGGAACCTCCTCCCCCGCCATGTGCTGCTTCTGCCGCTGCCACAGGTCCTGCTGCAAAGGGAGTGGGTGCCGTGGTTGCTGCTGCTGCTGCTGCTGCTGCTGCTCCTGCTGCTGCGTTAGTAGGATCCTCTCTACTACTAGTAGTAGTATGTGTGGCAAACTGACGTGCCGTGTCGGCCGAGTTGCCGGCGCGGATACTGGGAACAGAGAGCGGAGAGGAGCCACGTGGCATCATGCCAACCGACTGCGGCGACTGTAACGATGCCATCAACGACGGTGGTAACCAGCCCTGATCTTGCCGTTGTTGATGGACGGCTGAAATGAAGGGCGGGGCCATAAGGGTGCTTGTAGTTTGCTGGTAACTTGAATGTGTCATAAATGTATCGGAGAGGCTATTAAAGAAGTTCAGCAGAGGGTTGAGAAACGAGGGAGGCGCGGAAAGAAAGGGCGATATAGCAGAGTAGTAAGCTGCAAACGCGGCGAGCTGATGCGGGGCCAAGGAGTTAGTGGGGTCATTAAATGGTCCCAAAATACCCCCTGAAACACTAGCAGTACTAGAAGCATTAGGGTGGGTAAAACTCCCGGTTGCACTCACGTTATAGGGGTTGAAATAACTGAATATTGAGTAGACGGAAGGAGCAGAGGGAGACTGACTAATAATCGAACTACCAGTGATGTTCTGAATAGTACTAATCTGTCCTGGCCCGGGTGTTTGACCTGGCCCCCTAATGCTAGTACCATGGGGACGATGATATTCCCTCCCCCTGCCATCTTGAAATGCCGCACTGCTGCTGCCAGCGGTGGTCTGACCGCCGCCCTGCGTTGGCCACATGGCAGATGCTCATCACACTAATAGCAGTCCTGCCAGCAGCAAATCTGCTTCAACCAAACGTGGTCTGGCAATCCAGCTGTCCAGGGAAGTTTCAAACTTAAATTGCAAAAACGACAAGGGACTGGTGGCAGCAGCCAGTTCAGGGCAGGAACTGAAAACACGAGCTGCCCGATCAAGCATTTAGGTTAGTTGTTGGCAGTCGCTCTCTGCCATTCGGAAAAAATCCTGCTGGTTTTGTTTCTTTTTGTTGGACGCTTACTACAACCCAATTTCATGGAAAGGGTGTGTTGCGAAGGTGCCGAAACTCCCATTTCCACCCCCTTCAATTGCGGTCGCTTGCCGTACTACTTGTAGTATCCACTGAAGAGCGCTCTGCGGAGAAATTTCACAAGCGCAGGTCGCGGACTCCGATTTGGGAAATCTGGGGAGAACGACGAATCTGGTTGATAAATGGTTTGCGAAGCGAAGTTGTGGAGCCTAGATCCAGAAACAGGATCCCCAAACAAACCAGCATCAAGGCAGGAAGCTTTGCTGCTGAAAAACAGTGCAGGCACTGCAAACCAGCAAGATAGGAAACCCTTGGAAACCTGCAAACCAGCACAATCTGAGCTTAGCAGAGAATTTTGTGAGATGGGTGAGGAGGATCCATCTGCTTAGCAGAGAATTTTGTGAGATGGGTGAGGAGGATCCAGAGAATTTCTTTGCAAACCATGCAAAGAAAGCAAACCCTCCACCGCAGCTATTTCGCGTAGAAATCTGGTTTCGTCTTCGTCAACCAATGACAATGCATCATTTGATTCACAAACAAGGGTTTGGTGGTCGTGCGACACAATGAATGTTGGCGCACTCGGTCCACTCAAACCTGTCATTGAGGAGCGTACGCATTTCAAAACCGCTCCGTTTCAGTAACACTGTTTCAACCCATGCTGCATTTGAACTTTTTGGTTTGGTGTCAAGATGAACGGACAGGCAAGTCCGAAGGTAGCATGTGTGGTTCACAATAACTGAATCACGTGCAGTCACATTCTTGTACACCCTGTTTCTCGCTACACTGAACTCTGCCGAACAGATGGAATACCTTGTTATATTTGATTTGCCTAATTGAACCATACCGAAACGTAATTAAACTACTGTTAACCGTGCTTTTCCCATCTTGACTTCATTATAACCAAATCCACAATGGCGAGAAAGAGGGTGTATGACGCATGTCTAGACTCTAGACTGAGGAAGAAAGCAGCGCACGAGGACAGAACTTGTGGTGGAAAATGATTTTCACTTCACCTCACCGGCAGGTCCTCTCCCATACTGACCGCTATGGAACACATTGCAGGCCCCAAAGTACGAACTCGTTTCCGAAACCCTGACATTCAGAACCCGCTCTAGAATGTTCATTTCACAAGCACAAAGGACAAGGTCCACCGCACTTTTTTACAAACCGCGTTCACGAGTGCGCTACGAGCTGAAGCCGACTCGGGAACCCAAGATGTATCATCCCAGCGGTGGTACCCGATATTTTTAGTTTCATGCAGCTGACAATGTTTGACCTCACATATACAACATTGCCACCTAAGGAATTGCTGCAAAGCCATAAAGCACATCAACATGCCTGTTGTTCTCTGTCAATATTCTTCACATTCTTGGTATTCTACTCCAAGTTGTTTCCAAAACCGATGTATATACGCGCGCACATGCACATGGAACAATCAAAACCAAAAATGGAATGTTGAGGGGGTGGAAAAGATAAACCGTACAATCAATGTAAAAAATCTTTCCCTAAAGCATAGACAAACATAATGATGGGGATATTGTCAACGAGTTCTTCCTTCTCCTTGGCTGGCCTCCTAAATGGTTTGGTCCACCACAGGTGCCAAACCTTGGCCTTGGGCAGCTCCCTCACCTCCCCAACCCGGGCCACACAGTACGGTACTAGCGCACCCCACAAGGCAAGGAAGGATCACACAGAACCAAGCCACCACTGTGCGTGCGTCTGTGTATGTGTATGTATATGCATGCACTAGCTTTTAGCACTCCAGTCCATTCCATCCATATATTGCAGCGAAAGGAACTGTGGTTGACATGCACTACCAGATACTGTAATTAACAATCCCCCACTACCGTACCGGTAATCCCCAGCGCCACTACTTGTTGAGCAGCTGGTCCTCCCCAGGCAGGTTCTTCCTCTCCTTGGCCTCCTTGATGGTCCACAGGTCCCACACCTTGGTCTTGGGCGGCTCCCTCACCTCCCCCACCGGCGCCACCAGGTTCGGGTTATCAGCCCCCATCACCCCGTCCACCAATCCATACTCCACCGCCTCCCACGGGCTCATGAAATTGTCGCGATCCGTGTCAATCTCAATCTGAGGTGGGAAAGACAGGAGGAATAGGTGGAGTTGAGAACACGATGTATGTGCAAGTATTCAGGTTGGGGTTATCGGCCCCATCATCCCCTCCACCAATCCATACTCCACCGCCTCCCATGGGCTCATGAAATTGTCCCGGTCGGTGTCAATCTCAATCTGCAACTAGGGCAGATGAAAGGGGCCAGGAAAGGGAAGTGGTATTAAGGAGTGACAGATGGGAGAGCGTTTGGTCGGATTGGGATTATCGGCCCCCATCACCCCGTCCACCAATCCATACTCCACCGCTTCCCATGGGCTCATGAAATTGTCCTTGTCTGTGTCGATTTCAATCTGTCCAATACAGGACAGATGGAAGCAGTCAGGAAAGGAAACTAGAATCGAGAACAAGATGCCAGTGCGGTTGGTGAGGTTGGGGTCACCAGCCCCCATCACCCCGTCCACCATGCCAGACGCAGGGGGAAGATGGAACGAATGGAGGCAGAGGAAGTAAGGGTGGAGGGGAAAAGGGAGGAATAGCAGAGTAGGTTACTTCAGAACGGAAAAAAGGTACTTCCTGTTCCTCCTGGTACATGAAGACCAAAGATTGAAGGCAGGCAAGGGGGAGGTAGCCATTGGGGAATCGCACCTGTTCCTCGGATTTGCCGGTGACTCGTGAGAGGATCTTGTTGAGCTTGACCTTGTGGTACATCATCTCGCGCACCTGCAGCCCCACGTCTATGGCCTGCGCAGGGGGGGGAAACAAGCGGGGAGGGAAGGGGAAGGGAGAGGGGGGAGAGCCGAAGGGGGGAGTTGGAGAGGTGAAATCAAACAATTTTGAGCTTGCACCTTGAGGTACATCATCTTTCGCACCTGTAGCCCCACGTCTATGGCCTGAGATGGGAAGGGGTGCGGAGGGGTGGAGAGGGGTTACTAGGAATAGAGGGGGAAGACTTAGAGGGACCTTGCACCTTGTGGTACATCATCTCTCGCACCTGCAGCCCCACGTCTATGGCCTCCAGAGGAAGAGAAGCAAGGGGAAGGGGAACGGAGGCATTTGTCAGAGCGAGAGGGGAGACTTCAAGGGAGGGACCCCCCACTCTTCCCCCCCCCCTCACCCCCGTCCCCCATCCCCCTGCCCCTCCCCATGTACTCACCGATCCCTGCGCACCTCCCAGCGGCTGGTGAATCATCACGCGCGCGTTGGGCATGCAAAATCTCTTTCCCTTGGTGCCAGTGGCGAGAAGAAAGGCGCCCATGGACGCGGCGAGGCCGAAGCAGATCGTGGAGATGTCCGCGCGGCACAGCTTCATGGCGTCGTAGATGCCCATGCCCGCCGTCACCGAGCCGCCCGGGGAGTTGATGATGAGCTTGATGTCGCGCGTGGGGTCCTGCGAGTCGAGCAGCAGCAGCTGGCTGATTATCAGATCCGCGGAGAAATCGTCCACCTGCGGGGAGACAGTAAAGGGGGAGAGGGGCGGGGAGGAGAAGCGGGAATGCGGAAGGGGGATAGGGCAGACGTCAGGAGTCGGGATTGCGAAATCCGCGCTGAAATCGACCACCTGAGGCGACGCAGTAAGAGGGCAGAGATGGCCGAGTTGATGATGAGTTTGATGTCGCGCGTGGGGTCCTACGAGTCGAGCAGCAGTAGTAGCTGGCTGATGATGAGGTCGGCGGAGAAATCGT